TAATTTTCGGTGAGCTCTCAACTCTGTAGAACCGTACCATCAAACTGTTGCCATGCCACGGGGTCACGTCCTGTTCCTCGTATCCACTCACTCCCTTCTGGGATTCCCCGTTCCATCGAACTAAATAGAGAGGGGGGAAAAAAAACCCTGTTTGCATGTTTGCCGGCCGTTAATGGTCCTCCCTTTACAGTTTGTCCCATTTTCGTGTTTCGTTTTTGTTGTCATAGTGTGTTGATACCTTGGAGACGCTTCCGCTATCCCCACTTCCGTGCTTTGTCCTGCTCTCTTTTCTTTTTTTTGTACAAGGAAGTACAGGGGATCCTTCGAAAATGGTACTAAGAGTTGTGTTGGGGAATACATGACTACGTAAACTATAACTTGAACATAAAATATAGTTATTAAATTGTACAGAATTGTCATATTTAGGATTGTTTACATTATGTAATTAATGTGGGGGTAGAGTCCAGGCAGGAACATTTTTTAACTTCTGTGTAAGGACCTCAAGCACCACTGACTTATAGGGATCAATAAAATTTGTAGAAGTTTGAACACACTTTGAAAGTTTATTATTAACTAATATATACTTTTGAGGGAGTAGAAAATTGTACCAAAAATTAAATTTTGAAGCTTATTAAATCTTCTTAGCTTAGGAAAACTTGTTTCTTACATATTTATATTTATTTATTTATTCAATTGAAAGAAGTTCCCACTGTAAATGATTTGTGTTTGGTGTCATTGCACGTTTGACATGCACAAAATGTCAACAAAGAGGCCGATGACGTTGATGGAGAAAAACACGCCCAGTTTCTTACGTATTCCAATTCCATTTCCCAAACATTTCCCCCTCATTCCCTTCACTGGATTTCCTTTTTTTGGTATTAGCCGAAAGAGCTTTTCGCTGTTTTGCCAGCGGTTACAAAACGGGGACTCTCTTGGTCCTGGGTCCAACCCTCGTCTGGAGTTTCCTTTAGTTTCACTGCCTAAAAAAATAAAGATAAATAAAAAAAAACAACCCGGTGGCCATTTAAAGTTTTTTGGCATTTCATGGAATTAATTTTGGAAGAAGTCCAAGCCAAAAGGCAATGTACCCTAAAGTCTCAGGGGAAAGCGGAAGACGTGACTAATTTTGAAAAGGAAAAAATAGCTAATTAATTGAAGGAAATAAGAGAGAAGTTATATCTTAAAATGTATTTATAATAATAATAATCAAGGTAAAAAGATAGCAGCAGCTTAAAAAAATAGGAAACATAAAATCTATCAAGAAATAATGCTTTATTTATTAAACCATAAATCGATGAATAAATTTCTTGCCTTTCATTAAATATTTCCGGAGTGTTCGGAGTGTGGTGTTGTGCATTTTGTTAAATCAATATTATTTGATGGCTAATAAAAAGGCTAAAACCCAAAACCTGTTGCGTAGAGTATAATTACTTGTGGCTAAGTGCAGGAAATGACTTTCTTGAATCTAATACACATTTTCTTTCCCTCATTGTTGCTCCTTTTTGTTTAACTTAAGTCTGTCTTTCTTCTTTTATTATTTTTTTGTTTGTTTTTCTTTTCTTTAGCCAAAATGCGGTTTTGGCTCTGCTTTATTTTCCTTTTGAATTTTCCACTGCGGCTAAAAATATAGTTACGAGCAGGGAAATAGGTTTCTTTATTAGAAAATTTAAACAAGCTTTTAGGAAATTAATATAGAAAGAAATTAATAGTAAAAGAAATAATAACAGATTGAAATAAATATAAGAATAAATAAATAAGAAGATAAATAAATATAGACATAAATAAATATAGACAGAAATAAATATAGAGAGAAATAAATATAGAAAGAAAGAAATATAGAAAGAAGAAATAAATAGCAAAAAAGTATAAAAAGAAATAAATATAGAAAAAAGAATAAGCTATGCAATATATTATATATTTTATTTTCTATGTGCTAAGCTTTGTTTTTAGAGTTAAAACAATCGTTTTAAAGCGTTATAAACCAAAAAATGCTTTTCAAGTAAAGTTTTACTTATATTTCAATTTATAAGACTAAAACTAAAATTCATTCCATGGAAAATGATTTCTTTTTAATACAATTTGCTAATTTTTCAAGTCCTATGTGCTTGTCCTTAGGTGTAGGTCTGCATGTATATATATACGCATAACTGTATATATAACTGGGTTAGGGCAGACGCCGGCCGGTGGGCGTGGTCCTCATCCTAAGCACACCGCCCCACCTCCCTTTTAAGCCTCCTTCCGCCCGCCATTTATCCTTGTTTTTCCATCTTCAGTAAGCGCGCAAAAAGTATGCTATGGCATTTTGTTATTTTGCAACCCCAAACGAGAATGCAGAAAAAGGGAGCCCAACTCCACAGCAACCCCTCTCCCTCACTCCCTCCCACAATTATGCAAAGCAGGGAGCTTCTATGTGTGTTTTTGTGTGTGTGTGTGTGTGTGTGTGTGTGCTCTGATGACTCATCAGCGGGCAAATCCAGGCACTACTTGGCGCATTTTCTATACAGATTTCTATCGCTGAAAGCCACACTGTAGCTGGGCATAAGCTGGGCAAAAGAAAAGCCAAAGGGGGGAAAATGTAGAAAAAGAGCCGGGAAAAGGAAGAGCAAAGAAAGGAGTACGGGAAAGTTAAGTGAAGCCAAGTCAACCCTAAAACTATCAGTGCACTTTGGGGTTAAGTGGCGGCGGGCGAGCCAGAAAAAAGAAGGGGCTGCCAAAAGCTGAAAAGGCAACAGGAGCAGCTGCCTTTAAAGCCAAGTAAACACAAAAAGGCAGCCACTAAAAACACAGAGAGAATATATATCATAACTAACCCTTTTAATGTTTTATATTAGTAATTTATAAATGTAAAAGAGAATATTTAATTAGTTAATATTTACATGTAATATTTTAACCTTAAACCAAAGCCTAAACAGCCTTCCAAAAATATTTTTAAATAGAAATTTCATAAATATATAGTTCTTATTTAATCATTTTTATTTTCCACACATTTTTCTCACTACCTAAAATTTTTCTTTTAAAATATAATTCCTTTTTATTAACAATTTAAGTGTATAGGATGTTAACCAAGCTAAAAGTTTATGCAAATAAATGCACAAATCGTTCAGCTTACAAATAGACAATCTTCCTTGAGGGAAAGGCGTGTCCAAGCAGCTGTTATCTGTTATTGTTTTTGGTTTTTTTATTATTATTTTTATGACTTGTATTGGGTAGTTTTTTGTTGTTGTCTTGGGCAACCGTTTCAGGTGACCGCTCGACCAAGTTTGGCGGCAAAGTTGATGGTGTCGAGCGATTGCGATGGCAGCCGCCGTTGTCCTGCTTTGCCGCTTGACTGCCTTCTAAGAATCCCCTGTGTCCTGTTCCATGTTCCACTATCCTGTCGTTCCTGGCTGCCATTTGGTTGAGAATTTATTGACCCGACTAGAAAAGGACTGGGTATGGCCTAATGTGTCGCTGGCAACTGTTTCCCCAGTTTGCCTTGCCTCTTGCCGCGTCGATGCACGTGTCCTGATAGGGAAATCCTCGTATTTTGCTGTCTCACAAGTTGACTTTTTGACCCCTGAAGGGAGACAGCCCAGAAAAAAAGGGGTTGACCGAAAAAAAGGGGTAAATTACTGTTGGTGAACTCATTTTTAATTCACTTTTCATTGGCACAAATTAATGAGGAATGAGATTTTGCGATAACCTTATCCTTAATCTTATTCCTTGTAAACTTTTGCTTATTTTTACTCATTAAATTAAACTTTAAGGCAACAAATATTATTAGATCTATAATAAAATCAGTTGAGTCACTCGAATTGCAGTTCAACAAACTCACCAGTCCCACCAGAGTTCTCTTCACAGTTCAACTTACAACACTTAAAGACAATTCAAATGATTGACCTATTGCCTGACCCGTAGTCAAGACTGAACCCCAAAAGATCCAATGAAAAAAAATACTGAATAATACACTGCTCTGCTCAAGTCACAAGTAATAAATAAATAAAAAAGAGAGAAAAAGTAAGACGACAACGCTTACTTAACAAGCTCAAGCTGTGCGACTTGTCCACATAATTGACTCGAGCTTTTGAGTGTTGTATACACAAAAGTGGACAGCTATTTACAATTGTGGTAAAATGAATAATATCACAGATAAAGTCGAAGAAATCTGAATTTTTAAAATAATTTTAAGATGTTAACGATATATTATAATATATAATATAATTATAGTTACTTTTCCTAATAAAAACAATCCTTTAAGTGGGTACTTTCAACCTGAACTGTACCTAAAATTCCTTGAAACCTATACCTATAAATTGGTTATATCTTCTATACACTTTCCATATACAAAAGTCTATCATAGTTACAAGAAACACGACAAACTCTTAATTTACAAACATAAATAAATACCAGCAATGAAAAAAAAACCGAGCTCGGCTCGTTGACTTCCTTTTGCCGCTTAATTGCAATTACTTGAGACATGAAACAAGCAAAAAAAAAGGAAAAAAATATATAAAACAAAGTATAAAAACAAAACGAGAGCAAAAACCCCCCCTCCGGAATGCTGTCATAATTTGTGCATACAAAAAAAATGTCTTAATTTTCTTCTTTTGCTTGCCGCCTGGAGACTTTGTTGATTAACTGAAATTAAATGTGGAAATTAAGTTATTAGAGAGTAAGTCGGTCTGAATGATGATGAGGAAATGCGGAAAAACTGTCTTGTGACTAATAGAAAAATTAGTCTAAATAATATTGAATAAAACAATTAAGTAAATTATAATGCAGAGTATTCGATAATCGATCATTTTACATTCTCCAAGCTAAAGTGTTGAAGAAATAGAAACGGTGTGTCGTAAATTGAAAGCAAATTATGGACAATTGAATGATCAGTTTAAAAAGTATGACTTACAAAGTATAAGGTGTATACAGTCTCCTATAATACCTTTAAATATTTCCACAATTTAAGAACTCTTCGATATAGAAAACATATCTAACAATCTCTATTTCTTTTAATTCCTTAACAGATACAACTGGATCAAGAACGGCAAGAAGTTCGACTGGCAGGCGTATGACAATCGTATGCTCCGGCAACCTGGTCGAGGTACTCTGGTGATCACCTCGCCAAAGGATGAGGATCGGGGTCACTACCAGTGCTTTGCATCTAATGAATTTGGCACAGCCACCTCGAACTCGGTGTATGTGCGTAAGGCAGAGTTGAATGCTTTCAAGGATGAGCAGCCCAAGACACTGGAGGCCACCGAGGGTGAGCCCTTCATGCTGAAGTGTGCGGCACCCGATGGTTTCCCCAATCCCACAGTCAACTGGATGATCCAGGAGTCGGTGGACGCTAGCATCAAGTCGATTAACAATTCCCGCATGACCCTAGATCCCGAGGGTAACCTGTGGTTCTCCAATGTGACCCGTGAGGATGCCAGTGCTGATTTCTACTATGCCTGTTCGGCCACCTCTGTCTTCAGGAGTGAATACAAGATCGGCAACAAGGTCCTGCTCGATGTGAAGCAAATGGGCGTGAGTGCGTCCCAGAATAAGCATGCCCCGGTGCGTCAATATGTGTCCCGTCGTCAGTCCTTGGCCCTGCGTGGCAAGCGAATGGAATTGTTCTGTATCTATGGTGGAACACCTCTGCCCCAGACTGTGTGGAGCAAGAATGGTCAGCGGATACAGTGGAGCGATCGGATAACACAGGGACACTATGGCAAATCTTTGATCATCCGTCAGACGAACTTTGATGATGCTGGCACCTACACTTGCGATGTGTCCAACGGTGTTGGCAATGCCCAATCCTTCTCCATTATTCTGGATGTCAACTCTGTCCCATACTTCACCAAGGAACCGGAATTCAACACAGCCGCTGAGGATGAGGAGGTGACCTTTGAGTGTCGTGCCGCTGGTGTACCCGAACCAAAGATCAGTTGGATTCACAACGGCAAACCCATTGAGCAGAGTCCCCCGAATCCCAGGAGAACAGTCACGGATAATACCATCAGGATCATTAATTTGGTGAAGGGAGATACTGGCAATTACGGTTGTAACGCCACCAATTCTTTGGGTTATGTTTACAAGGATGTCTACCTCAATGTCCAGGCCCTGCCGCCAACAATCACGGATCCGCCAACGGCAATGTCCAGCGTGGATGGTCGTAACATCACTATGAAGTGTCGCGTTGAGGGTGCTCCCAAGCCCCTGGTCAAGTGGCTGAGGAACACGAATTGGCTGACCGGTGGTCGGTACAATGTCCAGGCTAATGGTGATTTGGAAATCCAGGATGTAACCTTCTCAGATGCCGGCGAATACACTTGTTATGCGGAGAATAAGTTTGGTAATAAATCGGCCCAGGGTTCGCTGGTGGTCAAGGAGCGTACACGAATCACGCAGGAGCCACAGAACTATGAGGTAGCCGCCGGACAGTCGGCCACATTCCGCTGTAACGAGGCCCACGATGACACACTGGAGATCGAGATCGATTGGTGGAAGGATGGCCAGCCCATTGACTTTGAAGCTCAGCCCAGGTTCGTGAAGACCAATGACAATTCCCTGACCATTGCCAAGACCATGGAGTTGGATTCCGGAGAGTATACGTGCGTGGCCAGGACTAGGCTGGATGAGGCAACGGCCAAGGCTAATCTGATTGTACAGGACGTTCCCAATGCCCCCAAACTGATGGGCATCACCTGTCAGGCCGACAAAGCAGAGATCCTGTGGGAGCCCCAGGGAGACAACCGTTCGCCTATCCTCCATTACACCATTCAGTTTAATACCTCGTTTACGCCCGCCTCCTGGGACTCTGCCTATGAGAAGGTGCCCAACACGGACTTCTCCTTCGTTGTCCAAATGTCACCCTGGGCGAACTATACCTTCCGCGTGATTGCCTTCAACAAAATTGGAGCCTCGCCTCCATCGGCGCACAGCGAGAGCTGTACCACCCAGCCGGATGTGCCCTTCAAGAACCCCGAGAATGTCGTTGGCCAGGGCAGTGAGCCTACCAACCTGGTGATCTCATGGACACCGATGCCGGAAATTGAGCATAATGCACCCAACTTCCACTATCGTGTCAGCTGGAAGCGTGATATTCCAGCAGCGCCATGGGAGAACAATAACATCTATGATTGGCGACAGAACAACATTGTCATTGCCGACCAACCCACGTTTGTAAAGTATCTGATCAAGGTGGTGGCCATCAACGACAAGGGTGAGTCCAATGTGGCCGCCGAGGAGGTTATTGGTTATTCCGGCGAAGATCGTCCCCTGGATGCTCCCACCAACTTCACAATGAGGCAAATTACATCGGCAACCAGCGGCTATATGGCCTGGACACCAGTGAGCGAGGAATCGGTAAGAGGACACTTCAAGGGCTACAAGATCCAGACATGGACGGAAAATGAGGGAGAGGAGGGCCTGCGTGAGATCCATGTTAAGGGTGATACCCACAATGCCCTGGTCACACAATTCAAGCCCGATGCCAAGAACTTTGCTCGTATTTTGGCCTACAACGGACGCTTCAATGGACCACCGAGTGCTGTCATCGATTTTGATACGCCCGAGGGTGTACCGTCGCCGGTTCAGAGTCTGGATGCCTATCCCATTGGCTCCTCCGCCTTCTGGCTCACCTGGAAGAAGCCCCTCTATCCGAATGGCAAGCTCACCGGTTACAAGATCTACTACGAGGAGGTACGCTCCAGCTATGTGGGCGAGCGACGTGAATACGATCCACACATCACCGATCCCAGGATCACACGAATGAAGATGGCCGGCCTGAAGCCTGAGACTAACTACCGAATCTCCATCACGGCTACCACGAAAATGGGCGAAGGATCAGAGTGAGTATTTATAGACTGGACAAAATTATTCTATATATTAATGGCATCTTTTTCTGTTTTGCTCAGGCACTATATCGAGAAGAAAACGCTGGCGGATATGTCGAGTGTGGCTCCCGGCACGCCCACATTCTCCTGGGAACAGGTTCCATCTGAGAACGGATTGGCCAAGTTCCGCATCAATTGGCAACCAAGCACTGAAGGTCACACCGGTACCCACTTCTTCACCAAATACAGGTATGATTAAATATATAATATACTTGAACCACTAATCTAATCTAATCTTATTTATTTCCATCGCCAGGATCAAGGGTGAAACGCAATGGGTGCGAACGCCAGAGGAGAAGAACAACGACTACCAGGAGGTGAAGGGTTTGGATCCGGAGACCGCCTACGAATTCCGTGTAGTCTCCGTCGATGGTCATTTCAACACGGAGAGTGCCACACAGGAGGTGGACACGAACACTGTGGAGGGACCAATAATGGTGCCCAATGAGACGGTGGCCAATGCTGGTTGGTTCATTGGCATGATGCTGGCCCTGGCCTTTATCATCCTGCTGTTCATCATCATTTGCATTGTCCGACGCAATCGGGGCGGCAAGTACGACGTCCACGATCGGGAGCTGGCCAACGGTCGGCGAGATTATCCCGACGAGGGCGGTTTCCACGAGTACTCGCAACCGTAAGTGCTATCGATAATTATGTCCTGCATTTCGATAACAAATCGATTAATGTATTTCTTGTTAAATTACAGCTTGGATAACAAGAGCGCTGGTCGCCAATCCGTGAGTTCAGCGAACAAGCCCGGCGTGGAAAGTGACACCGATTCGATGGCCGAATACGGCGATGGTGACACAGGTAAGAGTCCTTCCTATATCCTTTCCAAGTAACCCATGCTATCGATATACCATGTGAGACATTTGAGTGTGTCTAGTGCTCTTCGTCGATAATAATCATACGATTATCCCCAGAAACGATAGTGCTATGCTTAACTAAAATTTATCGAAGACTTACGATACAAATTTTGAATGATAATTTGTTTAATTAGTAATTATTAAAATTAAATGAAGTAATTTGTTTCATTTGGAATCTAATTTTGCTCTGGAAAGTAGTTTTGATCAATCATTCAAGTCATTTATTTATATATTTTGTATTATTATTAGAAACAAATTAGTTTATCAATTTATTATGATTTGAAAACATTCCAACTGCATGATATTATCGTTCCTAGGGTTAATCGCTGTATCTGGTACAGTCAGCTTAATGGGGTTAAGTTGAGCACATCTCCTTGTATCCTTTATACTGATTACTTTCCGTTGTCTCTCTTTGGTTGTTTTCACTCTCTTAATTTCTTTGTAACATTTGTTTTTTTTTTTGGTTTGTCGCATTGATCACCATTGTGTGTATATTGTGTGTGTGTGTATGTGGATTAACGGTACGGTCCAGCAGCAGTGGCCGCTGCAGCTGCACGCGTTGCAGCCGCTGCGCGCAGCAAATCAACGTCGCTGCCAACGTCAACGTCACAAACTCATCCCCAGTCGCCGTCAACGTCGGCGTCAATCTCACCATCACCGCTCTCCTCCACACCCTCTCCAGCCCCACCGTCCTACGAACTTTGCATGTCGGATCCTGCCGGCCGCAAGGTGTAAGGAAGAGCGGGAGGGGAGGTCGGCTTCTCTTCCGCCCACACTCTCCCACGGGCGTTGTTGTTGCTGCAGCCATCTTTACATACACATACAACCCACAAGCGCACACACACGTAGAATCTAATCAGTCAAAGGTAGCTCTTCCAATGTGATTCTCTTTGTTTATTGGCTGAAATACTTTGCGGCTAGTTCATGTTCGATGCCCTGCGCTTCAAAGAGAAAGTATGCGATCACAACATTGTGGTCACTTTAATGGCACTGCTAAATTATTAATTATCTAATTTTTAAATTTCTTAATATTACAAAAATTAAATAAAAGGCAGTGCCATTTCTTGACCACTTCTGTAATTGCCGCAATTTCCCTCTGCTCTGCCCTTCGCTCTGCCGCTGCATGAAGTTCTTGGCTGCTCGCCTCTTTCTCTTCCACTCTTGCACTCCTTCAAGCCAACCGAAGAGAGCCCTTTTGCTGTTACCAAGCTGCGCTGCGCTCTTCTGCGCTTTTGCTTTCTCTTCACCTGAGTCAATGATTGACTTGATCTCTGCACGATGATTTTATAGTTTTTTTCAAGTTTTGTTAATTGTTCGTTATCCTTTTTTACTAACAAAAAATTGCTGCTCTCTTATTTATCCTGAATTTCAAGCTTTTCTTTGAGGGGAAAGAGAAAGGAAGTTAAGTTCGGCCAAGCCGAATTCTAAAAGACCTAAAATAAAGTAATTATAGCACAGCGGCTCATCATAAATTCAGTAAAATATAGCAACTAACTTCGGCATGACGAAGTTTTTATACCCTTGCAGATTGAAATTCAATCACTAGGAATTAATTCAATATAAATTATATTTATTTATGTTAAAAAACAATAAAGTAATGCCTTTATTTCATTCACCGTTTTGCATTTTCCTCTATTCTTAACGATCGTTTGTATGACAGCTATATGATATAGTAGTCCGATTCTCATAAAATTCTACACAAAATTCTAGATTAATATTAAATGACTATATATCAAATTTAATGAAAATCGGTTGAAAATTGGAAAAGTTATATTTTATTCTTAAAGCTTTCCGATTGTTCCTATGGCAGCTATGTATGTATATATATATATAGTCCACCGATTCGCCAAGCTCCAATTTATATACTAGTTAAATTATATAGAAGAATAACTCCATAGTTTCGTTCAAATAGCTTAAATTTGTTCCAAAACAAATCTCGCACATCTGTGCATATGATTCCCAACTTGTTCTAACCTCCCCGGAACGAAGTGACTTCTACCAGCCACGTCTCAGATATGTGTTGTTACAAAAGTTGCAAGTCATTGTTTATTAGTGTTCAAAATTAATTACTGATCATACATATATAGTGATCATAGATACTTACTGATCATAGTTGCTTACTGTTCATTGATACTTAGTGATCATAGTTACTCACTGGTCATAGATATTTATTGTTCAGAGTTACTTACTGATCATAGATACTTACTGTTCATGGATAATTACTGATCATAGATACTTAGTGATCATAGATACTTATTGGTCAAATATACTTACAGTTCAGAGTTAATAACTGATCATAAATACTTATTGGTCATATATACTTACAGACCATAGTTAATACTTATCATAGATATTTTCTGGCCATATATACTTAGTGTTCAGAGTTACTCACTGCTCATAGTTAATTACTGATCATACTGACTGAAATTATAATACCCTGCAAGGGTATAAAAAAGATTGTAATCATATAGTTAGATTATCGTCCGATCGATGCAAGTTTTTAAGCGAAATTTGTTCGTAGGTTTCGAAAATACATATTATCTTATGTTGGTTAGTCCTTAAATACTTCCTTAATTTTGTTATATAGCTAAAGTAAACATTTCAGCATTTTCACCCCCCTTTTGTGTTCCTTGTTTTGTGTTCTATGTTCCATATTTATACATATTTATATTTATACTTTATGTTTTCTTTTAATTTACCTAATTGCACTATATTTGATTTATTATTATATTTGTATAATTTGTTTCTTCCTTCAAAAACACGTACGAAAATCACACAAAAAAAAATATAATATTGTTAACGATATATAAAAACGACAACGACAACCAATATCCAGGCATGAACGAAGATGGATCCTTTATTGGCCAATATGGACGCAAAGGACTCTGATTTAATTTGTAAGCAACGCGCCGCCGCACCAACAACAACAACATAAACTCAAAATATCGAAACCGAGCCCATAAAAAAGAAATCAACAGCAATAAAAATAAAAAACCACAAAAACCCATCACAGAAGAACGGGAAATAATAATGCAAGATAAAGTACCAAGCGAACAATTGGTAAACCGATAATCAAGTGCAAACCGACCTTAAAATTGACCAAATATATAACAGGACGGTTTATACAATATGACTATTAAAATTAACAAATGTATGTGTAAAAACAGAAGAGAAAACAAAAACAGAAGCAAATGACAACTGCCAAAACAAAATAATCAACAACGATGATGCAGCAAAAAGGCTATAAACAAATGCGAAGAAATGAAGAGAGAGAAGAGAAAGCAAATCGAAAAAAGAATGATGAAAATGCATGCGAATTAGAAGAATGCAAAAAATATTACTACTTTTATATGAAAAATTTCGAGCAGCTGCGTATAATTTTATGTTTTTTTAATGTCAAAATTAAGTAATTGAGGCAATTTTTCTGGAAAGCGAAGCTCGCTTTAAAAATCTCCCATTTGTATACCTGTCCCATTCTGTCTCATGCACTGTATATCTCTGTCCCGCTCTCTTGCTCTCTACCTTTTTTTTTAAATGTATTGCATATATATCTATTAATATAAAGCCTAAATAAGTTATATAATTTAATCATTTTTGTATGAAACAAATGAAACTCGAATGTAAAATCTCCGTTTAGTTTCGCCGAAAATCGAAAATCAACAAATGTATTTTTTTTATCCTACATGTTTTCTATTTTTATTTAAAAATTTACTATGCATATTTTGTTTTTTAATATTTTATGTTTCCCCTTTATAGTTTGTGTAATGACCCCTTACATTATTAGTTTTAATTTTAATATTTTTTCGAAAAAAAAATTGATTTTGGACAGTGAAACAGTGTTGTAAAATGTAAAAAAAAAATAATGTTTCCTTTGCGATTGTTTTCTGAGAAATTAAACAACAAATGAAGTTGATTTATTTTTCTTATATAGTAGAGCTATTTAATATTAAAGAATGAATGAAAAAATCTGCTTAATTATATGAAAATATAATTTTTTTATATATGTATATTAAATTAGAAAGAAAACAAACAAAATAAAGAAAACCGAATAATAAACAAGACCTCGTAGACCTTTTAAATTATGTAATTGTAATGTAACTTTATTTTAAAATATTCTTAATTTTAAGCTGATGTATTTCCAAGGTAATGTTGAGTATATATTTTCAAGCATGATTATTTGTAGTTTGTTTTTTTTAGTTTTCGTAGAAATCCTTCCCTACCCAAAGTAGTTTTAGTTTAATGATCCATGTACCCCTAAAAATACCCCACAAAATCAGAGATGAAAATGATAACAAAACTAACTGAACTACACAAAATTAAATAATAATAATAATAATAAATAATAACATGATATCGCGACTAATTCGAAACTAATCAAAAGAAAATTGCACTGGTGTTGGTTGTGGTTAACATGAGTATTAATTATGCAGAGAAAAGAATGCCTAAATATTTGAATACTGAATTTAATTTATACAAAATTCTAATATACAATTATTAAATTTTAAAGTTGCTTCTTTTCTCTGCAAATAACATTTTAAAGAGATTTCTAAAAAAGAAAACCGTTCCTTTGGCTTTATAATTAATTTATTCATCTTTCCGTTTCGCCAGGACAATTCACCGAGGATGGTTCCTTCATTGGCCAATATGTTCCTGGCAAGCTGCAGCCACCGGTTAGTCCACAGCCGCTTAACAATTCCGCCTCGGCGCATCAACAGCCACCATCAGCTGCCGGTGGATCTGGAGCAACAGTGGCTGCCGCATCGGGTGCAGCTGGCCCATCCGGATCCGGTTCGAGCGGCACAGGAGGAGCTGGCGGAGGAGCATCGGCTAGCAACGGTGGAGCTGGAGCCGTGGCCACCTACGTCTAAGAGGCGTGGTTGGAATTATTTCGCCCCCCTGATTTCTTGATATCCTTTTTGATTTACTTCTTCGAACGATTCAAAACGAACCTTAAACCAAAAACTTTTGTGTAATCGTAATTGTGTAAAACGAAAAACTGCTTTAAGTGTCTGCAAAAAATGGAAAAAAAATAATTATAATTAATGAAAACAAAAAAAGAAAGCATATAAAAGAAGGGAAATGAAAACAATTGTAAAGTGAAGAAACTCGCATGAATTTAAAGCATATAATTTTGCTTCTTTTGGCTTATAAAATTATTCTAGCAAACAGTTAAACGCCTTTTCAAAAAACCAAAAAGAAGAACTTTTTGTATAAGCAAAAAACAAAAAACAAAAAAAAACTTAAGTAAACGTTAAAAAATGAGTAATGAGAAAGCGGAAAACAACTAATAATGATGCCTGTTTGTGTAATCCTTTATTCCTTTTATTTGTTTACCGATATCTCATTAAGTTATTAGTGGCACAAGGATTTATATATTTAAATCTGTGGTCTGCACAATATATATTGTAATTTTGTAATTGAATCTCAATTTAATTAATTTAACTTTTAAATATTTCTGTAATTTCTCGTAAAGTGCGGACCATCGATTTAAATGGAGTTTTTCAGTCGAGTAGGAAAACTGGTCGATCGAGTGGGAAAGAATGCAATAATTGAGGGTTGAGTGCATCATCATCATTATCATTATCATCAGCATCCATAATAAATGTAAACTACTCCCCAGTTAAAACTAAGATTCGTACAAAGATCAGGCAGGCAGGCAGCTTCGATCAATTGGGTGACTGAATTGCGAAGATAATGCCAAACACTCAGGATTCAGGTCAACTGTCCGGGCTTACGCCTTGTCCCTAGCCTGCAATCAATTATAAAGTACTGCTCTTTAATGACTAATGACTAACCAAAAATAAAACAATGTGTTCAAGTCAGCGGCTCTTCGACCTTTTTGCCACAATATATATACAAAGTTCAAGAGCTAAGAGGAATTCAATCGCCAGTTTTTTCAAAAGATCAAGAGTTATATGCTACCAATCCATTTTTGGCAGCCATTCGTATATATCGTATATAAGTTTCTGATTTTCGTCCATAGTGTAATGCAATTTGTCATAGTGCTTAAAAAGAATACCTTTCATTTTTGTCCATTAAACGTTTAAGTAAAGCAAATTAGTTAATTAACAAATTAGTTGTACACACCTATAATAATATATGCAGTAAACAAAGATTCTCTGATTGTTCCATATACTCGTAGTGTCGCCCACTTATTCTTAGTTCAAATGTCAAGACCCTCAAAGATGCAATCCATCGAGATGCTTCTCTGGTTTCCGCTTAATCCAGATATATCTGTAATAAGAACTACTTATTCATATATATATACATATATACTTTTTTTTTCTAAACTAAAAACACACAAAGTGGCATTAGAATCTAATACGTAAAGAACAAATAAATAAATAAAAGAAGAAACAAAGAAATTTCACATTTGTCTTTTAAAAAGTCTTCTCTGCCGCTTTGAGAGAATCCAAAAGAATGCTTTGAAAACTAATAAATACACACAGAAAGAAAAAACCCAGAACGGATTCAGTTTTTTATGGAAACTTAACTCGTATTCTGCTTTCCTTTGCTAATTAGGCAGTATGATTAGATTATTATTAGGTGGATATATAAGCTTATGATTATTTGGTCCTTAACAAACATACAGGGTTGCTTAGTCAAATTTTTGCATTAGATTTTATAATATAAAAAAACGAAAATGAAAATGAAAATGGATATGAAAATGTGTAATTTGATGACTCATATTTTGTGCACAGCGTTCTGTTTGTTGTTATTTAAATTAATTAAAAGCTATGTATATGTAATGAACTATAATCCCCCGGCTTCTAACATAGTTTCCAATCGTAATCGAATCGAATCGAATTAAAGATCCTTCAGTATGAAAATCCCACACAACCGAACGATCCACACACACATTTCACCTGCACCACGCATATCCCAACGATTGATGACGACGACGAAGCAGATATACGAGAAGGAGGAATTAGTGAGGGAGGTTAAGGACTAGATCAGAGGATGGACAAACACAAGGACGAAGGACGAAAAACACTGCATAAAACAATACAAAACTTGCTATACAAAAACAAACACGTATATATATATTATGGATATATGAATATATGATATATGATATATATTTACAGTATAGAGGACAACGATCTAAATCTAATGTTCACAACAAAGGCGATATATATACAAAAAACATATAGAGAGATTTATAAGATTTTGCATAGATATTGTGATTCCCCAAAAATAAAAAACTCAAAATAGTCAATAACTAAAGTGGAAAACGAAGAAAGAGAAAAAAGAAAACCGTGTAACCGAAAGCCCAAAAAATAAAACTACACTTATGTATATTTCCTTCTTTGTCGTATAAAAAAAAACCAAACAAACTAAAGTGTTCATCGGTGGCGTTATCGAAAACAATCGTTCGCTTTCGATAACCGAGCAAAAATAACCAAAGAGAGCCACAACAACTGCACTGCCCGTGTCTGGTTCTATTTAACATTAACATTTGCGTAGACATTTATACATTATACTATATATATTGTATGAGCTACTTGAAGAATTCAGAGAACCGAGTTAGAGCAAGGCAAGCCAACATCCAATGCAAAACATTTTTGAATCTAATAAGGGTAATTTGCACAATACTGTGATTCCTAACAAGAAACCAAGAAGACACGATGAACAATTATTGATTAACGATAAATGATCGATAACTGATCGACTTTTGTGTGTTTGTGTGGTTCGGCAATTGATGTGTTTTTTGTATCGTATATATATATATTTTCACTGCATATTAAACAAGTTTACAACAAGAACTACTTATCTAACCACTCAGTAATATCCAACTCGAACAATTTACTTGCGTATGATTATTACTATTATTATTATTATTGCTAACCAATGGCCTAAACAACAAATTACATATATGCAGAACCAAAAACAAAAAGCAAACAAAATGATAACAAATAAATAAAATTTAAAAAAAAGAAAATGCAAAAATACAAAATACTTTTTTAAAATGAGTTTTTAGCGAATCAAATATAATCTTAAGATTACAAAAAATTCATATACAACACAGAAGCAAAAACAATAGCAGAACAAAAAAAAACATCAAGAGCAGCAGAAAAATCTTTGCTAAGATTAATAAATTCGTGCTGTAATACCTAAAATGAGAAATAAACTATAGAAACTATATGAAAAACAAATTCTTTTTTAATATTTCGCTGTATTATTCTTTGATTTTGGGGGATTAACTCCAAAATTATATTTTCTTTTATCTCAATTTCAAAAATGCCTCTTTTCAAAAAATATTAAAATGGAATTTTCATAATCAAGCCAGCTGTTAATCTAGAATCAAGTTGTATTAACAACTTAGTTCACATTTTTTAAATTTTGTCAGTTTCTTTACACAATACAAGGTAGCAACAATTGCACATTAATTCTCTGTCGTACTGAAAATCTTTTTTTAAATTATATTTCTGGAAATTCCGAAAAACGCAGCTCACAAATATTCTTCCATAATTCAATGTACTTGCTGCGCCGGCAGCCTAGGCTGCATCAAAAGGGATTTCAATTAATACTGTGCCTCCAGGATGTGTCCAAATCCTTTTCCTATCTTACGACGGCTATGTCCACAGAACCGATTCCCGGATCAAGGATGGTTGCCACCATATCCACCGCCATATCCATGGTACCCCAATCATTATCCTGGCTGGGAGGATCAAGAAAACAAGAAGAATCGGGCACAGGTGGGTGTAAAAGTATCTTTTTTTAAGGATTATTTAATGTAGGAGTGTTTTTATGAATATGTATATGTATATAAAAATCTATTTTAAATTTTTTGTAGGAGGAAAAGCCCGAAGAAGAGTCTACTCCACAGGACGAGGAGCAGAAGGAGGAGGAGCAGGAGGAGCAAAAGGAGGAGCAGAAGGAGGACCAAAAGGAGGAAGACCAGCCGGAACCTCAAAATCAGAACCAGGAGGAACTGCAGGTGGAACAGCCCCCCCAACAGGTGCAGGAAGAAAGGCAGGAGGAGCCGCCGCCGCCGCCGCCGCCGATTCAGGAAGAAAGGCAGGAGGAGCCTTCGCCGCCGCCGCCGATTCAGGAAGAAAGGCAGGAGGAGCCATCGCCGCCGCCGAATCAGGAGGACTAACTTCGGGAAAGCCACCTTCAGCAAACACTCCACCAAAACCCCCTTCAGAACCCACCAAGAAACCGCCACCACCTCCTCCCTCTGAGAAAAAACCACGAATGAAGAATTTCGACATATACCGCTGGAAGCCTGGTGATCAGCCACATACGCAGACCTTCTCCGTGGATATCGCACAATGTGGTCCCATGGTTTTGGATGCTTTAATCAAAATCAAGAACGAAATGGATCAAACCCTCACCTTTCGGAGATCATGTCGCGAGGGAATCTGTGGATCATGTGCGATGAACATCAATGGTACCAATTCACTTGCCTGCATCACTTCAATTGATACAAACGAGGGCGCTACCTGTCGCATCTATCCTTTGCCGCATCTGTATGTTGTTCGGGATCTGGTTCCTGACATGAGCCACTTCTATGCCCAGTACACCGCCATCCAGCCGTGGTTGCAGCGTAAAAACAAGAAGCACGAGCCTGGGACGGCACAGTTCCTGCAGTCAATCGATGATCGAACCACTCTGGACGGGCTCTATGAGTGCATCCTGTGCGCATGCTGCCAGACATCCTGTCCCTCATACTGGTGGAATAGTGACAAGTACCTGGGACCAGCGGTCCTTATGCAGGCCTACCGTTGGGTCATCGATTCCAGGTAGGAACTCTCTTTGTCATATAATTTGTTATAGATCTTACCTTACATATCCTTTTCCTTAGGGATGAAGCCACCGCAGAGCGCTTAAAATACTTATCTGATCCATGGAAGGTGTATCGCTGTCACACAATCCTGAACTGCACAAACACCTGTCCGAAGCACTTGAATCCAGCCAGGGCTATCGTCCAGCTAAAACAGCTCATGGCCGGAATGAAGAAGAAGGGGGAGTCACAGCTCAAAACCGACGCACTGCATCAGGGCAAGGCGTAGGGACACTCTAGGCTAAGCAATACAACAATTAAACGTTGAACTGATCTGATCTTGAACTTGAACACGACTTACACTACACCAAGATTGCTTTAGAAGAAGCCAAATAATGAAATTGATATGATAATTCATAATTCATAAAGTATTAACTAATAAAATACTTTTAAATGATGAAATACTTAAAATGACAAACAAAATGTTCTTCCAACGAATAATTTGAATCGAACGGACCGTTATTGCAACCCGGGCTATTTCGATGTTCGATTAGTTTGCCATTTTTAAACTTATCGATATGTGTTTTGCCCAACTACCACCACATATCGTGATTCTCGTGCAATAGTTGACAGAGGCAGCAAGTGGGCAGACCACGTCATCGATGTATCGATGCAGAATTCTGTTAATGGATGAGAGCAGTTCTATTAATCAATCTTACTCCCCACATGAGAATCCTACATGTATTTGTAAACGGGTAAAATGTTATCTAAACGTGTAAAATGTTAAATAATAGACAAAAAATACCAACCGTAAAATAATTCTGTTATGAGAGCAGGTCTGTAATTGAATTTTAAATTCTACATGGGAATCCTACTATCTACATTAGAATTCGACCCCAAAAGTGAGAATTTGACCCCATGTATCTGTAGGCGTGTAAAGTTGCTCTGTTGTACTGTAAAATGTAAATTTATCAGGGGCAAACTGTTGAATATACGGTGTGACCAGCTGCGGTGGTTGAATTAGTCCCCCTCCCGCGTGCGTGAGACTTTAGCATTACAAACGAAAAACCACACAGCCACACTTAAAAAATTTTGTTCGTCGAAAGCGGTTGTGTTGCGGATCTGTGTTAAAATTTAGTGCAAATAAAACAACTTAATGTATCTTCTGCCGCGTTAAATTAGCAGTGGTTGTGTTCTTCGTGACAACGAAGACAAGTTGATCTTATTTTCCCGTGGAAGAGAGACATAAATCAGCCAAAACGGAGGCGCGCAGGCTAGCGGAGATCGCAGCGATGGAAAAGAAGGCCAAGGAGTCGCTGCGCCGATACAAGAAGGCCGCCCGCCACAATGCAACACACTCGAGCAGCTCGGACTCCACGTCGGATTCGGACAGCGGCAGCAGCTCCTACAGCAGCACGGACAGTGAGCAGGGTGTGGGCGGTGTTGGTGTAGGTGTGGGCGGGCCCGGCAGTGTTCACGGCCACCCGCATCCCCATGGTGCCCATGGCCATCATCCACGCTCCGCGGAACGTCATCATCGGAAGAAAAAGAGCTCCCGCCGGGGAGGCAGCACCTCGGGTGATGAACACTCACGCCGTAAGCGCGACAAGAGGGATCATGTGCAAAAGAAGTTGGTGGCCAAGCGGAATCACATCAAGCGCAAGCTAAAGGAGGCCCGGCTGAAGAAACGTGCTGCCGCTGCCCTCAGTGGCCACGTCCATCGTTCGCTGTCACCTGCCACGCGTGCCAAGCTCAAGAAACTGGCGGAGCGGAAGAGATTACGGGCCGCTAGCAAGGAGCAGCGGGAGCGAGAGAAGCTGCGGGCCGTGCAACGAGACCGGGAGCGGGATCACCATCGTCTCGGTAGCAGCCGGAGTCCGCCGAGTAGCAGCACCACCACCACCACCAAGATACGCATTCACCAGGACATCGTGGGTAAGCAGCGGCAGAAGAGTCCAGGTACGATCAGCTCCAGTGCTAGCCATATCCTCTTGGATATCTGTGGATCCCTTCCAGCATTAATTTTCTGTTTCTATCACAGGTTTAGGTCCCGGAGTTGGAGGCGGCGGCTCATCCTCTCGCATGCATCACCAGCTAATGTCACGAGAGAAAATCATTATCCAGACACGAGCTCGTGGACGCACTCCATCTCTGGAACGAGAACGAGAGCGGGAGCGGGAACGTGAGCGCGAAAGGGAACGTGAACGCAATGATTTCTCCTTAAGGGAGCGAGATCGTCGGGACCGCGAGCGTGATCGAGCGGAGCGGGAAGCAGCCAGAGACAAGGAACGGGCCGAAGCTCTGGCACGATGCCAGGAACGACAGCGAGAGCGCGAACGCTTGGCCCGCGAGAAGCTGCGACGACAAGAGGATGAGGAGGGCGGCGGCGGCAAGCGGAGTGGTCCTGGACGTGACTTGGATATGCCACCATATGGCGGCAGCAGGGAACGTTCTTTGGACACCGTGGAAAGAGAACGAGAGCGCGAACGGGGCAGCGGTGGTGGACGCCATGTGCGAGATAAAAGAGAATTGGATGCATATGAGCGAGAGCAGGACTATCTAGAGGAGCGGCATGGCCACGGACTGATGGATGAAATGCGTAGATATCGGCGAAGGGAAATAAGTCCACTACCGCCAGAGCATTATCCGCCCAGAATGCGAGATCCCAGAGAACTGTACTCCGAGGAGGAGCGCGAAAGGTGAGTCCGTCAAAACACTTGTTGTACTCAGGTTGTCAATTAAACGATTTCTCTGTATTTTCAGAGCCTACAAACGTGCTTATCTGGATGCTCGGTACTCCTCGCGAGAGCGTGATGCCTGGCTAGAGGCACGTGAGCTGCGAGAACGTGAGCTAAAGGGACGTGAGTACCGTGAACTAGAGCCTGAGGATGGCCTCTATCCCGATGAGCGAGAGCGCCTAATCCGCGAGAGGGAACGTGAGCGGGAGCGAGAGCGTGACCGAGAGAGGGAGCGACATCTGGGACCGCCACGCGGAGACTATCGACCGGAGTGGGAGCGTGACTGGGAGGAGGAGGGCGGCGGCAGCGGTGGCGGAGGTCCGGGCGGGCCAAGCGGTACACCCGGCCGACCCAGTGGCTTTGTGGGTGGACCCAAACGCGGCAAGCCTCCATCACATCCGGTCGGTGGACCGCCATCGCAACAGCAGCAGCAGCACTCCGCCTCAGATCCGGACTGGGATGCCGATGAACGCGAGAGGGAGCGCGAAAGGGAGAGAGAAAGAGAACGTGAACGTGAACGTGAGCGAGATCGTGAGGATCACCAGGACCCTGGCAATGTCGGCGTTGGAGGGGACAGGCCACCGTCTATGAATATTAAAAACGAACCCACTTGGCTGGAGCACGATCAGCGGGACAAGCCACGCGCCTGGCAGCAACAGGCAACCTCAAACTCTGGCGGAGATTGGAGGGACAATGATGATGCCCCACCGCCACCACCATCTCATCCACATCCCGCCTCGCCGCACCATCATGTGCATTCCCGCGGAGACAGAGGCTCTGGCCGTGGTTTCCGACGCGGCGGCCATGGTCATGGAGATCACGGCGAGCGACCCGGCTACAGATCCCATCCGCCACCGCTGATGACGCTGCCAGTGCAGCCACCTGGCGGATATTCCCGACCATTTGCCCACAAACGTTTGCCCTACGGAGCCCGAGATGGCGGTGGTGGCGCCGGCGGCAGAGATGGAGGTGGCATACCCAGCCCCGCCTCTGGTTTTCTCAAGAAGCATCCACATCCACCGCTTGCTTCGCCCACGCAAACGCCGCTCTTGAATCCTCTACTGGGCAACCCAGGAAAGCCCAATGCAGCTGCCCAAGCGAGTGCCGTGGCTGCTGCTACCACAGCAGTGGCAGCGGCCAAGGCGGCAGCCCAAAGCGCCGCCAATGCCACCACAAATCCAGGAATACTTGCTCAGGTGATTATTCATTGTTTTCTCCTATATTTCCCTCATATTTAATTTAATTTTCTCTTTAATGGTTCCCTCAGGTGAGCAAACTGAATGTGATGAGCATCAAGCAGGAGGAAGCCTCTGAGGATTCAGCAGGCACACCAGAACTGGGTGCACTGGATGACTCTGCTGCTCCTAATCTGAACATGGCTTCTCTGGCAACAGATCCGGTTAAACTGGAGCCACGTCCCAGCACTGGTGAAGGTGAACTGAGCGAGATTAGTGACAGTGATGATGATATCCTAAACAAAACGGACAAGGTGCTGCGTCCCAAGAGTGAGCTGACTGTGGAAATGGAGCAGGAGGTGGACACCAACGAGGCAGCGCAGGATGCGAAACCTACCGAAACCAGTCTCAATGGCGTAGCAGCCAGCCAACCGATAAAGGTGGAGGAGGTGCTGGACGAAGTGCTGGACTTTGAGGAAATTTCCGACGGTGAGCTGGAGGAGGATGCGCGACACAAAGGTAAGGAAACCATAATTTTTTGCAGGAGAGGAGAGCTATGATAATAAATCATTCTTGCAGGCATTGGCGATGCCCTGGGCGTGGACTGGCAAGGACTGATAGCGGAGACCCGACAGCAAGCCACCGATGCTCAGGCGGCCCAGCAGGGCGCCGATCGTGGCACATCGGCCAAGCAGCGATGGCAGCCGCATCGCGTGCTCCTCGACATGGGAATCTCGTTTGGCATGGCTGGCGAAAGCTATGCCCGTCGTGTGATGGAAGAGGCCCGCCAGCAGTTCATCCAGGAGAAGGAGCAGCGCCAGCAGAGGGACAGGGAGAGGGAACGCGAACAGCTGGAGCATGGTGAGCATCAGGAGCCGCCACAGCAGGTGAAGATCCCAGCACCGCTGCTCGACTACCGTGAATTCCTAGCCAGTCCCTCGCAACTGGAGCCCTTGGCCTGTGTTCAAATGGGTTTACGTGACGTGGCCGCCGAACGTCAGCGTCTAGTGGGCAATGTCTGTGGCCCCGGCAGTCGAGCTTTGAGCGCTCGACAGGATCTGCGACTACGCCGCCAGCTCTGCGGCCTGCCTGCCCGCGAATGCGAGTTCCCACGTACAGCTCCGCTAGTGAACGACGGCCTGCGCAACCTGGCACTGCAAATGTTCCAGCGCAGTCTGCTGGACGTTAAATGAGATCCGATGCCTGACGACAGCGGGAGCGAGAGCGAGGGGCAGCCACAACAGCCCCAGCAGCCGCAGCAACAGCAACCGGAAAGGCCCATTCAATACCGATTGGACATACAGATATACACGGGCGGCGAGCAACAGGAGAGAAGAGACCGCGACTGGCGGCATTATTAGATATAAGTTCAAAGTTTGTAAGATATAATAACCTGATTTCCATAAGCCATAAGCAACGTTTTCATTTCTCTCTAAAAAGTTCAATTGTGTGAATATCAATATTGCGTAGATATTATATAATATAATCTATTATATATACATTACATATATATGTGGAGAGAAAATTATAAAAATCTTGATTGAATTGATTTTGAATTTGAATTTGGATAAAATCTTGAATTTAAAGGATAAAAAATTATACCTTGGCTAATAATTAAGGAAACTTTAGTCAGCTCGTCTGGGTTTATAAATTTTATGTTCGTTTACAAACATTTCGAAATAATTTCTATTTAATATTTTGGGATCCATTATAAACATTTTGAGGAATCTAAATTAACAGAAAACTTGTCATAAAACAAAAAAGAAAACTATATTTGGGAAGCCAAAGTGTATATACCATTGCAATTTGCAATTAACTTATAAGATCGAATCAGAAATCGATCATAACTAAGTTTAAAAAATTCACATTCTTTGAATCATTATTTGTTCATAATTTTATATGACAATCTTGTCGACAAACCAAATTTAAAAAAACTCATAACTAGGCCAAAAATGCCTTAATTTTAGTTCGGAAAACATTTTTATGTTAGTTTTTAATAGGTTAACAAATCTGCATACTCAATTTTAAATTTAAAAAAAATTTAAATTTAACAATTTTTGAAAATTTTACGATTTAACCCCTTTCCTTTTTTTGAAGAAAAATGGAAAAATTTTTGGAAACAATTTTTTTTTCTACCGGAAATGGCTAGTTTAACTCGGTTTTCAATGCTGATCAAGAATATATATGATTTATAGGGTCGGAAATGGCTCCTTCACTGATTAAAATTATATTTTCCTCTTTTTTTGGGACAGTCAAAGTTTAAAAATCGCATAACTTTGTCAAAAATGCCTTAATTTTAATTTGGAAACATTTCTTTTGTTAGTTTTTAATAGGTTAACAAATCTGCATACTCAATTTTAAATTTAAAAAAAATTTAAATTTAACAATTTTTGAAAATTTTACGATTTAACCCCTTTCCTTTTTTTGAAGAAAAATGGAAAAATTTTTGGAAACAATTTTTTTTCTACCGGAAATGGCTAGTTTAACTCGGTTTTCAATGCTGATCAAGAATATATATGATTTATAGGTTCGGAAATGGCTCCTTCACTGATTAAAATTATATTTTCCTCTTTTTTTGGGACAGTCAAAGTTTAAAAATCGCATAACTTTGTCAAAAATGCCTTAATTTTAATTTGGAAACATTTCTTTTGTTAGTTTTTAATAGGTTAACAAATCTGCATACTCAATTTTAAATTTAAAAAAATTTAAATTTAACAATTTTTGAAAATTTTACGATTTAACCCCTTTCCTTTTTTTGAAGAAAAATGGAAAAATTTTTGGAAACAATTTTTTTTCTACCGGAAATGGCTAGTTTAACTCGGTTTTCAATGCTGATCAAGAATATATATGATTTATAGGGTCGGAAATGGCTCAAAGTTTAAAAATCGCATAACTTTGTCAAAAATGCCTTAATTTTAATTTGGAAACATTTCTTTTGTTAGTTTTTAATAGGTTAAAAAATCTGCATACTCAATTTTAAATTTAAAAAAAATTTAAATTTAACAATTTTTGAAAATTTTACGATTTAACCCCTTTCCTTTTTTTGAAGAAAAATGGAAAAAATTTTGGAAACAATTTTTTTTTCTACCGGAAATGGCTAGTTTAACTCGGTTTTCAATGCTGATCAAGAATATATATGATTTATAGGGTCGGAAATGGCTCCTTCACTGATTAAAATTATATTTTCCTCTTTTTTGGGACAGTCAAAGTTTAAAAATCGCATAACTTTGTTAAAAATGCATTAATTTTATTTCGGAAACCTTTCTTTTGTTAGTTTTTAATAGGTTAACAAATCTGCATACTCAATTTTTAATTTTAAAAAATTTAAAATTAATCAATTTTTGAAAAATTTTCGATTACGCAAGAATTTACTAATTTTTGTCTGTTGCACATTCTTAGATTAACTCAGCGGATCAAGAATATATATAATATTTATATATATATATATATATATATATATTTATAATCCAGAGCCCTTATAAGTATGCAGAAATTTATGCTATCTTTAAATAGCAGTGAAAAAAATCAGATTATTTCGGAAATAGAGGTAATTTCATTTAAAAAATACAAAAGAAAAAAGAAAACAATTTTAATATCATCTTATAAACAAATTTAATTTTATTTTAATGTCTTCCATGGAATAAATATTATAGTAAGGGAACATTTCATTAATGGGCTTGCCTGCCTGTTGTCGTATATAAAGTATATATACAGAGCACTTTTAATAATTACAAAACCCAAGAAAATTTAGAATTTCATATAAAATAAATTTAATATAAAATATATTTCATTTCAAAATTAAAAGATTTAAAATTCCATGCGAAGAACTGCAGAAATAAATATCATCAGTTGAGTAAAAGCATCGCGAAACATGGAAATTGCAGTGGTTAGGCCAAAAAATATATAAATGATAAATGTAGGTTTATTTTAATAAATACATCGCTAGGCTATTTATTAGTTATTCGTTTAATAAGCAGCTTGGGCAAATTTGAGATTGGTTTTTATTGTTACAACAAAAGAGGTTGTTCTGCTATCAAATATAAACTTTTTGGGTGATATACCTTTTCGATTCTGGCCAAATTTCGGTATTTAATACTTATGTACAACGATCTTAAACCGAATCAATTCAAGTTTGGTGTTGGGTTATCACATGTGAGATCGAAACTTGTTCCAAAAAAATATGTAAACAAAACAAATCAGAAGCCAAAAATCTGGGGATTTATAATATATACACATATTATCCTGGCAATATGATTTAATACACCAATTTTAATAATAATAACTACACAATAAAAGGGGAAATCCTCCAGGCTAAAGGTGATCTATGTGGGTTGACGAAAACATGCAGCATATCTGGCACTTTACTATCAAACATCTTATAATAACAAGATGAGTAACGCTCGGGCTCTAGATCTGTACGCACACAAACGCACTCCACATATTAAATCGTGATATAATTAATAATGTTACATTCTAAACTTTGTGCTAGAAAAAAACAATTGCTTGCAAGTGGGCGTTATACATCTTGTTATTAAAAGGTCTTTGTTTACTACTCTTTCGCAAAAAATTGTCAACATTTTAATGCGATTTTGTGGATTTTTAGTTTATTTTGAATTGAATTAATCTCTTGGTAATTATATTTAGTTGTTTTTTGCTTTAATGTTGAAGTAATCTTACTCTTCCTGTATCTCTTTCGTTTTGCTGTTAATAAATAATTTGCCTTCCCTTCGCTCTATTATGGTTGTGTGTTTATTTAATCCCTTTAAATGGTTTAAGACTACAATTAATTTGTTAAAAGGCTAAAACAAATTGTTGCTTACATTTCTCATTCATGCTTTTTTTTTTTTTTTGCTTGCCTCTAGTTTTTGCTTGTTTCCTAAATCTCATTTTACTCTTTGTTCTCTGGTTCGATTTCCCGATTTAGTTTTTAGGTTTTTAGTTTATTCATACATATTACATACATATAATTTGTGTTTTTGCCTGTAGTTTCAGTTTAGTTTAGTTTCTGCAATGCATAGTTAAACGTATAATTTTCGAAATTAGTTTTTAGTGTTTTTTTGTTTTTTATAAAAAGTATATGCTCTATCTTCCCGCTCCTTGTTCACTTTTTATTTATTTTGCATAGAGCTATGCATATACATATGTGTCTGCGTGTGTGTTTTGTGTGTGTGTGTGATTCAACGCTTGGCGTATATCCTTCTGTTCCTGCAACATGGCTTGCACCCTCACCTCCCTCTTGTTAAGAGCATTTATTAGTGTTTGCTGCTGTTATTTTTGCTTTTTGTATTGGTGCCTTCTACTTCCATTCTTCTTTATCTTTTTTATGATTTTTCGTTTTTACGATTTGTTAATAATTCCTAGAAATTTGTTTTTCCAAAAAAAAAAGAAGAAAACAATATAATAGAAGTGAAACAATTGAGGGTTGGGTTTCCTTCTCCACTTCCGTTGTTCCTCGCTCTCTGCTGCGGCAGCTTCTTTCTGGGTTTCCCCTAAGTGTTCTTCTTACGGCTCTTATCAACTCTCTTGACGGCGCGTCAATTCAACGAGGGCATATGGGTGTCATGCCAATTGATCTCTATATTGGGCCATTTGGTCTGGAGGCAGGTGACCATCGGATTGGAGGTGCAAATTGACTTCAGGTCGCCCTCCAACAGAATGGCCGAGCCGCAGTAGAAACGCACCTGCAGAGGGAATGACAAAATTAATTCAGATTTCATGAAATATATAAAGAAATAGTGTAAACTGATTCCTTAAAAGTTTCGTTCATTATTCGGTATTTCGTAGACACTGCTCTAACCTTATTATTTTCATTAGAGCCTGGTATGCCATTGTAATGACGCAGCTCAAAGGTATCCGGCGTGGAGCGACGCTCCAGCGGAAAGAACTCGTCCATGAAAGCGTTCAGCAGTATAATGCCCAAGTTCTCCGGATCGAGACGTTTCTGCATGAGGCTCACACTGCAAAGGGGTAACTGCATTAAAAAAACTCGCTTTTTGCTGAAAACTCTACAAGTTAGCTTACTAGGCTGGCTCGCTGACAAGATTTAATTCCGCCAGAACTTCGCGCAGCATGGTTGTCGATATGAAGTTATTGCCCTCTGGATCATATGACTTGAAGATGCGACGGCCCGTCTCCGAAGGCGTCTCTGGTGAGACCAGCCTCTTCTCGGTGCTGAACAGAACTATATAACGATGATTAATGATTTTTGTTCTCTAATTTCAGGGATAAAGTTCACTTTCAAATGCAGCTTAGACTCACCGGTTAAATGCGTATCAGAGCCCATCACCCAGACCGGATAGCGGGGATTCTTAAAGAAGGAACCCACAGTGCAGTACCGCATCTGTTCCATAAGCGTTATAAATCCAATGTCGCTCTGCTCGCAAATGCCACGCAGCTTCAGTCCGCCGACATCCTGCTCATTATCCCAGACATGGGCCACCGCACGACCCGTTAGCATCAGATTGATAAGCGACTGGGCGCCATAGCCATAAGTGCTGTGTATTAGCGGCTCCGATGTGTCCGATATGTCGGCCGCAACCAGCTCCGAGCCCTTGGTGAGGAACACCGAGTACATAAACAGCAGGACGCCATATGTGTGCGCCAACTGGCCGTAGTTTTCCATGTAATAGCGGGCCACGGCGGATATATCGTCGAAGTGCACAGTGTGCAGGCGATCGTGGAACTCATCCGGGGACAGATCGCCCATCGTTTCGGTATCGGGCTCTTGGCACAAATCCTTGACCGAAGCGGGAGTGGCCTCCGCCGCCAGTTCCACGCCAGCTGCTGCTGCTGCAGCTGCTGCTGCTGCAGCTGCTGCCTCCTCGGTGCCAGATTCGGTTGCAGCGCCAGCTGATGGTGATGAGGCGGATGGCGAGCGCTCTTTGGTTGGACCAGCCTCTGAAGCAATTCCACGGCGGCGCAAAAGATGGACGATGCGGTAACGCGGTGCACGACAATTCTTTAAAATGTTGCACAAGGCCTGAATAAGCAGGTTTTGGCATTTATCGCTAGAAATCTAAAAAAAAGTGTAAATTGTCAGTGTTAAACAGTGTTGCGTTTTGATTGCGTTTGCGATTGATACCCACCTCGGACAGCTTCACGCCCGGCATTTCCATGATAATAATCTTAAGCAAGTACGCCTGCACGGGCGCTATCACAGCACAAGGACCGCCTTGCTTTTGCACCAATGCTGACGGCTCTGCATCACTAAACTCAAACCCTGGACGGGATTTATAATTGAATAAAGGTAAGTTACAAGTTAGATGTAAGTTATTATATTAGATATATATACATAAATCTATAAATTACCAAGTAATATATAGGTAGGAATGGGATTTAATGGTTGAACCTATTTTACAAAATCTGCTATTGGATCCTATTCTACTTGATATTCGAAATACTTTTCTCTCTGACAATAATGCATGTGATTTATTATAACTATTTACAATCCTCTCATTAATTGCCGGTGGCAGCTTGCTAGTAAAAAAAACATTTTCATTGTTTAGCCATAAAAAAAGAGCTTAAATCCGGAGGCAAGACCTGCTCTGTGTATAAATATGATGTAATAATAGTCTATACTAATCCAAAACTCAAGCAGATTCTATGGAAAACAAAATTGAACAATTCTGAGGCTTTTGAGAAAGCAAAAAAACTATAAACATGACCTAGGCTATGATGATTTAAAGCGATAAGCTTTTTATATTTATATTTTCGCATTTTCAAATATAGGAACAACATCATACTTACAAACTTGCATTTATAAATAAAATATAAAGCAAGAGGGGGTTAAATAGAAATGAATAATAATGAATTATAGTTTAAGACTGTGAATAGGACGTATGTATGCGTGTGCTCGAATGCAATGTACCCTGCTAGTCCGTAGAAAAAGGGCGCGCTTTTTAGGCACGAAATGGGGGAGGGGTGGGCGTTGAGGTGCGGGGGAGGGTGTCATGTCGTGTTTACCTTGAGACCAGCGACGGAATACATCCTCGCGCACATTGTCTCCCCACAGCAACTGCTTGATGTCGCGCATTTCGCGCATATCGTTTGCATTCAGCTGCGGCGACGGCTGCTGCTGCTGCTGTTGCTGCGTCTTGTGGGCGCTGGATGCACCTGCTCCTCCCGATCCAGCATGGCCCCCACTGGTGGTGGCCTGGTGGCCCGATGCCATCGATGCACCAGCACTAGCTCCAGCTCCGCCGCCCGTCTGCACAGCCATGCTGTGCGATTCCAAGGCTGCCGAGGCCAACGTCATCGACGCTGCCGCTGCCGCCGCGGTCGTCGGTGCAGCTTTGGGTGAGACGGATCCCTCGCAGCTGCGCTGCTCCCGCACAAGTTCGTCGTTCATGTCCGCGTTTGGCGTCGCTTACCTCCTGCTGTTGCTCGTTGGTTGCTGCTCCGCGGCTCGCTCGCTAGCTTCCTGTCGCTGACTGCGTACCGATTCGAACGTTCTGAATATACAGCTGCCTGTCTTAGCCTACCATTTGGTTGGCATTTTATAGATGGTCAGATATTTTCCTTTTTCCGCAGGGGTTGTGGGGGCGAAATGCAAATGCAACAGTGTAGGGCTAGAGTGGCCAATTGGTGCGGGGGCGTAAAATACCGCGACTTGGGCGGGTCGGCGCAACAACAAAAATACTCGCAGCCTCTACTGCGCACACGGAAATTACGTCTATATTTTAAATTTATAGTTGACTAGCTATTTTTATTCGTTCTAGTCGGTAAATATTTTAAGACTTTCAAAAATTTTGAGTTATTGTGAAAATTGTGCAGATTTGAATCAATAGTCAGAAAAATACCAAAATAATATAGTATTTTTGAGAAATTAATAAGTGCAAAGTGTAAATTTAAAATAACTGATCCTCTAGAAATGGTGTTGCCACCATAATTTCATAGATTTTCTATGATTTTCCCAATGATTTTACTAATGTCAAGTGTGGGTAGTTTAGCTTTCAGTCGGAGCCAAGAAATGTCCGAAAGTATGATTTTGCTTTTTTCCTAGTATATTTTCCAAGCCTGCTATAAGTGAACGGTCCCACTGCGCGAATTGTTTTGTTTTGGCAATTTGCGAGGCAAAAGTGAATTAGAAATTAGGGAATGGAGCCAAAAGCAATAAAACCGAAGCCATCGGGAATGGGCAACCGCATAGCCCTGCCGGCAAAGAATTGCTCCGCAAAGCGAACATACCATTGCGGCACCTGTTTGACGGCGTTCCCGCGTCATCTTGCCGCCAAGCGCCACGAACAAGAGTGCCAGGCCAAGTTTCGGCGCCTTTTTATTTGCCGGTATTGCCAGACGTTGTACGGCGATGAGTCCCGACTGGAGCGGCATCAGGAGCGAAAGCACAAGGGCGCCCAGTTCCTGTGTCTGCAGTGCGGTAAGAAGTACTCGTCAGCCACCTTCCTCTACCGCCATGTCGTTACCTGGCACGGCGAGCAGTCGCTGTTCTATTGTGGCATGTGTGCGGACAACTGCAACGACGTGAAGAGCTTCAGCGGTATGCAGCAGTTGCAGGAGCACGCCGAGAAGGTGCATCACCTGCGTTCCCTGGAGTCTACGGCAAGCGAAACGGGTCAGCATACCTGTGCCTTAGTGTAAATCAATAATCTCAATATATAATACTTTATTTAGAAAGCCTTATTGACGAAACTGAGGACTTAGAGATGTTGGAGGAGAATATCGAAGACATTCTGCCCAGCGCTGATTGGGGTAACGATCTAACATTTGATTGGCCCATGGATTTGGACAAGGAGTTGTGCACTGTGGACGCCAAGCCGAGTGTTTTTGTGTGCCCCTTTTGCGCCAATGGCTTCTCCGGTAGCCTGAGTTTGGTGAACCACCTGAAGCAGTCGCACCATCGTGATGCCCTGGAGTGTTGCTACTGCGGCCGGAGTCATGGTAGCCGCGAGGCCCTCAGATCCCACCTGCAACGTGTCCACATCCTGTTGCGTGCTCATGTCTGTGATGTTTGCCAGGCGGACTTTGCCACGTCCGATCACCTAAAGAAGCACGTCAATAGCAAGCACCTGAATCACCGGCCACACGTCTGCCCCATCTGCGGTAGTACGTTCGCCCAGCGAAGTCACTTAAATCAACATATGAAAACAGATCGGAAGCACGACCAGTTTACATGCCAGCTGTGCTTCTGGCCCTTCTTCCGGGCCATTGATCTGGAGCGTCATGTGAACGAGAAGCATCCATAGGTAAGAAGCGAGAAACATATACATATATGAACGTAACGTAAGGTTTAAGGTAACTAACCATTATATTTAAGTAAATGGTGAATTAAGCTTGCAGGGTATTAAATCATTAATCAGAATTAGAATCAGGTATTAATCAGAAGCTTGTAAATGTGGGAAGGAATCATTTTCGACCCTATAAATCATATATATTTTTGATCAGCATTAAAAGCCGAGTGGATCTATACATCTCCGACACGAAATTTTAAAATTTAAAATTTTTCAAAATTTTACAATTTTACAAATGTGTCAAAAATTTGAAAAAAATTTATTTTCTTAGAATATTAAATTAAATATGCAGATTTATTAGCCTCGTAAAAATTAAAATAGGCTCGTATACCGATTTAAAATTAATGGTGTTTTGGCTTAGTTATAATATGATGAACTTACTTAAATATATAAATTTTAATACCTTAGCATTTGATTAGGATTTTTAAAGAACTGTGATGTAGATTATCGATAAATTAAATTTTAAAGTAAGGTTTATTATATTTTAAGTATGTTTATAATTTTAGTTTAATTAAGATAGGTTTCTTTTTAATGTTTTAGTTTCTATTGGAGGTTTAAAATTCAGTGGATAAGAATGTGTATCTTTAGCTTAAGTTTTTGTTTGGGATTCAATATTTTCTAAGTTTCTGACTCTTATTTTCAGTTAGTTATTCGATAGTCAGCAAAGAGATACTTGCATAAAATTGCAACTTTTAAGTTGAGAACATCGACAAGCCCACTTTGGAAAATCCCTTGTGGAACAAGCTTGATTCTATATCTGTTATCTGGTACTGTTTGTGAGGCCATGTTATATGCCCACAGGTATACAGGTACTAACAGGTGTAAGCTGTCTGTTATCAGTAAACGAAACCTGAAGAAACTCTTCTGTTAAGTTGCTCACGCATGGTGTTGTCGTTATCAGTGGCATGTTAGCTAACAGCTGATTATCACACGCAGCAGCCAAAGAGAGTCCCCAAAGAGCGCGACTGCTGTTAAAGAGCATGTTGTCGTGCGACATTTTCGAAAACACGCCCAGAGATGGGCGTGAGCAATGATAATATTCAATTCTTGAATTTTAAAATTTAATACACTTACATGGCTTTGAGTTTAAATTGAATGTTTCATACAAAATGTATATATTTTTTATAAATATTATAAATGCCTTTAAGTTAAGTGATGGGTATGTTTTAAGTCCGATCGTGCACGAATATTTGCCATCCCTAGGCACGAGGGAGCAGTAACTTGGCCCACACTCACTACAGTTTCGAACGATACGTGCTGGCGCTTGGATCGCAGTTTATAACCGATTCTCGGCGAAAACCCCGTCGCGCTCAAAATATATTTATCACAAAATACCTTTTTCTCGTGATTATTTTTTTCCTGTGCCGTGTTTTGTTGCGAATTTGTTTTGCTGTGTCTTAAATATATATTTTTTTAATTACTCTGTCAAAAAGTTAATTTTTTAAGTGAGCTAGCGTAAGTTTTATTTGATTTTATTCAGTGATAAAAATGATATACCATTTAAAATCTATTGGTTTTTCGACTGACATTCTGCGCGTGCAAATATTCGAATGCCATTGTTTTAAATATAAATGAATATCACAAAAAAAGCAAGCCAGCAAGCGACCCTCAAGCTCTGCTAACATTTAAACTAAAACAGCTTTTTGTTATTGTTTATATGTTTTCCACATTTGCCCCATTAAAGCCGGGCCAAAAAAAAAGCTTTTGCCTTTTGTTATTATTTGATTTATTTGTGTTTTATTTTTTTCAAAACAGCTTTTTCGACTGAGATCCAGAACCAAGTTTTATTATTGACAAATGCAAAAGCTACAATCACAATGCAAACAAAAACAAAAGTCTCTGGCAATTAACGTTTTTATTTTAATGTGACTCTCGAATTATTTGAACTCACCTTTGTGTGTGTGTGTGTGTGTGTGTGTGTGTGTGTGTGGAAAACCCCCGTGAAAATGGCTACGCTTGACTTCCCATGACAGGAGAAAAATAAAATCAGAATAACAAAGTCTAAAGCCTGGCTTTAATCAATATTCAAATCGAGTTAAAAACCCCAAAGTAAATCGTTTGCGTGTGAGTCGTTGGTGCATCATCAATATCATTTCGTTCAGTAATTAGTGATGCCTAAAATGGCTCCAGTTTCATTTATATTATATCTGAATTATAGGATTTCATTTAAGATTTATTAATCACATTAAAGACTTTGTTTAAAATTGCATTTTTAGTACGTAAAGTGAATCTTAAATACCTACAAGTCGTAAGTTAAGGTTTAAGTAGATTTTTATATCAATTTTTAAATTCTTAGGGATTTCCTATCGTTTTTATAAGGTTTATGGGTGTAGCCTCTTTTCATATAGCTGACTTTTAAACCATCAATTACTATCTATATGATATATTTAATGATATTATGATCTATTTATTTATCCCATTCAAGACTTCTCTTCTTTATTTATGTGAAAAGTAACAAACCCTATTGAATTTCCCATGTAATCGATGCGGATGTGAATTGTTAATTATTTACTCCGTCTGAAAGTTGAAATCGGTTAATCTTTAACTCACATTCCATGCGGTTCTGTTAACCCGATTCCTTGGAGTGAGACTTCAAATCCATTGCCACAATTTATCTTAAGGGAGGGAGGGCCACCACCATCCCTCCTCCAATGGATCTGGAGCTGGAGCTGGAGCTGGAGCTGTTTGTTTTTCGCTCTTCGCTGATTATTATGAAAATGCGATGCGCCCCATCAGCATCAGAAGTGGTCCCGTGGAGGAGACTGTGGAAATTATCGTCGTGGTCGTTCGTTGCCGTTGATACAAGTATATTGTAATTGATTTGCTGGAGGAGAACTCCTCTGCAATTGTCCCCCCGTTCGGGACACACCACTCCCTTGTATAATTGCGGACCGCCCAAGTTGGGATCTGATTCAAGATTCCCCTGTTGCTTTACCCTTCGAATCCTCGCGAATTCCCATATACATATATTTAATTTTGGATGACGCACTGGAAAGGAATTTTTGGAAAAAGGTTAACCACACCTGCATTGGTTAATTTAACTGATGTTTAAGATTGTTTAAAATTCACTATTGAGCTTGAAATTGCCTTAATAATACCGCACTTTTCCAAATATGATGTATTAAATCTTAAAAAAAGGTTTTTTAACTTAAAGACCGCTTTTAAGTTAACTTACAGCTGTTGCTATTGGAATGCAGCAGCCGAAAGTGTGAAAGCTTAAGCTGAGTAAGCTCGACTGTAAGATACCCAGTACTCAAGCTTGTTGCTATTTCCAAAGGGTTTTTTACACATATTTTTCATATGTTGAAAATTAATTACAAATTAAAAGAAAATATGTAAGAATGCGATTTTTTTTGTATAATACTCAATTTTAACATCTTTCACCCTTTAGGGTATCCGGTACAAAAAAGAAAACAAAAACAGAGACACAGTCAAAAATCAACAACAACAAATACAACGGTACAAAGAATGTCAAGATGAATCAGACAGGTGTATGTGTGTGTGTGTGTAAGCAATAAGAAATATGGAATGAACACCTGGCAACACGGAGAAACAGCATTCATATATGCCAAGATAGGTAGCCCAACGGAATTGTTAGTTTTGGCTGTCATATCAATCAGTATTTGCTTAACTGTTAAAGAGCCAAGAAAATAGAAATATAACACAAACAAAAAAACAGCAGAAAACAATGAAAAGTAGATGCAGCGCGTGCTGATAGCAGTGTGGGGGCCTCTGTGTGTGTGTGTGGGTGAGTGGGTTGATTACAAACGGCAAATAAACACTAACCCTCCCCCACCCCGCCTCGTACGCATTACACCTCAAACGCAAGCACAAACATGACGAAAGGAGGAGCGGAAAAAGCGCACTCTTTTTGCTGGCGATTTTTTTTTAAACTCCTCAGGTTCCGTTACAAGTGAAGCTTAAAAGCTATTTTTAACATCATTTGCTGATCATTTCTTTTCCTGCCACACCCCCCCACCGTCCCTATCTCCTTTCCTGTGTTGTTGTTTGCATTCGTACTCTCTTTGGGGTCTTATTTCTTGTCTCATCTTATATTTGAATACTCTTTTGAAAAGGGAGTATTATAATGTAATAGTTATGAAAAACTATGGCTTACTTAATTTGTATAGCCTTATAGAGTATTATGAATTTAGTCAGAAGCTTAAAACTAAGTGAAGAAATCATTTCCGACCCTATAATGCATATATATTCTTGATCAGCATTGACAGACGAATTTTTCTAGCTATCTCCGGGAGAATAAAAAAAATTTTAATTTTCAATTTTTTTTTTTTCAAAATTAAAGGGGTTTCATCGTTTAAAAAATTGATAAAAATTTAAATTTCTTAAAATTCTTAATTAAGTATGCAGTTTTATTAAGCTACCAAAAACTAACATAGGACAGCTTTCCGAATTGGAATTAATGCTATTTTGACTTAGTTATGAGGTTTTCAAATTTTGATTTATCAAAAAAATGGTCATATAAAATTATCGAAAAAGATTGTTTCAAATAACGCAAATATTTTTGCAAAAATTTCACAAAATATCAATATATCTGAAATAACTATTTGTTTACTAAACAAAATATCGAGGTATTCAGACGCTTGCCAATAGTTATTTAACTTTACACAATAATGCATAGTAAGTTCCGATTTTGTCTTTATATTCCGCTTCCCCCTTGGTCTTCATTTTGTTGTTTTGCATTTTATGAATGAATAGTAAATCTACTCTAGCATTATTTGTTATTATTTTTTTGTTGTTGTATTATTTAGTAAACTGATAAAGCGCCTTGACCAGGCACTATATATGTATGTATGTATGCAGCTATAGCTTCCAACGAATACCAGAGGTCTGTCATTATCGTTGGGCGTGCGTTCTGCGTTATCGACAAAAAAAAATCCAACAACTGAAAGGGAAACGCGAACTGACCTATAATAAGAATTTTATATTTAAGCAGCACGCAAAAAAAAAGACCAAGAAAGCCGAGAATAATTAAAAATAATAAAATGCATTTCAGTTTTTTTCCCAGCCAAAGTGGAGCCCTACACTTTGAGTTAAGGTTATTTTGATACCCTTGGAAATAGGATTTTATTAAAATATATTATTATATATTATATAATATATTAAATATATTATATATAAAAATATAAAATATATTATATATTAAAATATAACATATATTAAATATATTATATATTGGGAATTTTCATGGCTAGATATAGCATCTTGTGTTGTAATTGTAAAAGTATCTTTGTAGTTCTCTAAAAGAACATATACAAATACCTATAATATTTATAAAATAACCTTTATAAATGGTATAAATTTCAGTTTTTTCCCAGCCAAAGTGGAGCCCTACACTTTGAGTTAAGGTTATTTTGATACCCTTGGAAATAGGATTTTATTAAAATATATTATTATATATTATATAATATATTAAATATATTATATATAAAAATATAAAATATATTATATATTAAAATATAACATATATTAAATATATTATATATTGGGAATTTTCATGGCTAGATATAGCATCTTGTGTTGTAATTGTAAAAGTATCTTTGTAGTTCTCTAAAAGAACATATACAAATACCTATAATATTTATAAAATAACCTTTATAAATGGTATAAATTTGATTTTTGGATATTTTTCTTTCCCAAGTAAAAAGGATTAAAAATCCAAACATGTTTCCCCCTAGACAGGAAATTCCAGTCGCCTCCCAAAAGGTTTTCCACTTGAAACTCCTTGATTGCCGCTGTGATTACATAAAAAACATTTTGTCGCCTTTAGGATGGGTGGGCTTTATGGCCACAAGTGCTTTTTGGTTTATGAGTCAACATATAAACATATAAAACTATAAAAGAGACGAGCAAACAGTCGGCCAACAATCGTTGTTCATTCATCCACAAATGTGGCAATGCATTGGCTGATACCCTACAAGCTATTTATGATGTGGGGTATATGGGTTTTGCTCAAGATGTTACTGATTAGCAAAGAAACAATGAATATAAACTCATTAATAATAATTTAATTGATTAAGTATAAATGTAATGTAGGTCCTATTTAAGAAAAAGGAAATACTCGCTTACTTCGCTTAGGAGTTTACTCATTAAATTGTATTCCAATCACTTGAATTATAGCCCAGTTAGTACCTCTTTTGTAGAACTCACTTAAGGCTTTATTAATGATCATGCCAAGTGATTTGTTAAACTTCTTCTGGCTCTTTTGGAACTCTTCACCAACGATCAAGAGGTATTTATTTATTTATTTAGTTGATTTGTGAGTCACTGGGCTCCCTGCTTTTGATGGCTTTATTGTCATGCAATCGGCAATCTGATTGTCTTATTGATATGCCTGACGCACGATTTGTGCGCCCTCGGATGTGTGTGCGAGTGTGTGTGCTTCTGATAAACGGTTTTTATATCAATGTCAAGTTAGTCGAAAAGAATTCCCATTCCAATGCACTCGTAACCGCCGCTGCGACCCCAATTCAAGCGGGTGAACAGGCCTCCGTCCGCCCACCTGTTGTTTACCTCTTCCACCTGTTGGTGTGGCCGCAAAGAGCTGACATTGTGCTCGTAAATCGACAACAGAAATTATAAAAAGGTAAACATTGAAACAAAAGTGAATTTCCGTTGCTGACGAGGGGAAGCTAACTCACTAAATCAAGTTGTTAATCATACAGGAAAGTCTAGAAGAAATCTGACAGGGTGATATAGTTTTTTTTTACACTCAGCAGCTTCCAGGGCTAACATATCTTAGAGGAGGTGTCTAGATAAATTATCTGTGCGGTTTATTTATCTACATTCTATATTTAACAGTTTTTGGGCAGTTAAAGTCCCTGTTTAGAAAATTCGTTTGTCACATGAGCTCACACTTATTATATATTGTAGATTATATACAGTTTTTCTAACTTTCTTGTTTATTTTTTACAGAAGGACATATACACACACCTTTAACAGGATATATCATTGTCGCTAGCAGGAACTGTTACTTCAATTTAACACCTAGCAGAGACACTCAACACAACCCGCTTAACCATGCCGCAAACTCGAACCCGAACCCAGGTGCAAACACAACCATTGATCGTCCTGCCACTTGCCTTACTCCTGCTGCTCTGCATAGTCGATCGGGCAGCCTGCGTGGCCCTGGTTTCCGCCAACAATCGTCTGCCATCGCAGCGTTTCTTCTATGCCGCGGCCACACCCTCGGCCGCCACCTCACAGACCAAGGTGCGTCTGCTCCGTCAGGCGGATGATCCGGACGCAACATCATCGCAACCAGTAGAGGAAGGTAGCTGCTGTCAAGGAGCAGCAGCTGCAGCAGGAAAACCAATAGCAGTAAGCTTAAATGAATTATTTTAGAAATAGGAAGGGAATGTTATAAAACTTAGTAGGGAAAATTAGAAAAGCAATAGAAAAACAGAGGTAAATTGAGATATGTAAAGTTAGGATCACTCATTTTAATGTAAATAAGTTAATTATATGGGAATGTTATAAAACTTAGTAGGGAAAATTAGAAAAGCAATAGAAAAACAGAGGGAAATTGAGGTATGTAAAGTTAGGATCACTTATTTTAATGTAAAGAAGTTAATTATATGGGAATGTTATAAAACTTAGTAGGAAAAATAAGAAAAGCATTAGAAAAACAGAGGGAAATTGGTGTATGTAAAGTTAGGATCACTAATGTAATCACTTAATGTAAAGAAGTTAATTATATTCAATTGACAGATTTTAGATTGATTAAGTTTGATTAACTTTATATTAGTACTGCCTCAAGCCTTGACCCGTGCAAGCCTCATTTAATATCAAACCTAATTTTCAATCTCAATAGTCTGATGATTTTATAAATCATTTCAAATGTCTACATTTTTATCTGCCTTCCCCTGCCACAATAATTTCAAATATTTACATATTTACTTACTTACTTTGCTGTACTTAAAGCAAATGCAATCCTTTTCTCAAAGAATTATTTACTTTAGTTCAACTTGCATTTTGGTAAATAGATTTTAATGCAGCGAGACAGTTAAAACCCTTAAGTTAAACATTTGTTTGTTTTAAATCTGAGTGGAGGGAAGCCTGCCTCCCGCTGCTAGTTGTTGCATCGTGGCGCCATAACAAAAACCAATCTGGGTCAGCGTCATCGCCGCCTTGCTTGCACTTTGATAAGACGCAGTCAGTCGGTGTCCCAGTCTCCGTCACATCATGTCGTCGTCGTCGTCGTCGTGCATCCACCGAGCCCACACTCAGGGCCAAGATCCAAGACCCCGTTCCCAGATCCACAGATCCCCAGACACCAAGGCCCGATCCCCAGACACCATTAGTTTCCCTAAACAATCGTCCAAGATCGGGATCAGTCCATGAAAGTGACGTTGTTGTCTCAGTCTCTTCTTCCACTGATTAAATAGTATGAAATTCTAATTCTATATGGAAATGTAATGATTTCAGTGATTTTTCTTACTTGTCTCAATTGTTCTGTTTCCGAATTTCCAAGGAAAACTATAGACACCTTTTAAATTTACTCAGATTAATACAATACCACACTGGACTGTATCTCTCTTACTAGTTTATTTTCTTAGTAACTAAGCATTTTTCTCGCTTATTTGGTCTTTGCCATTGGATAGCCTTGATCGTTGTCTTGATTCCAAAACAAATATGTAGTTCGCATTACGTTTATTACTTGGGCTCCCAGTTTCCCCATTTGTTTCCAACCTTTTATGAGGATTTGTTTGCGTCAATGCAAAGATAAACAGGAGATTTCCAACTCGAATCCAAGGAGGGAGTCATGGTGGTGGCTAATTAAGTAAACAATTGGATCGGTTTCTAAGCACTCAGCAAATAGCTGGAAGTAAGAACATAAATCGTAACAATAACATTGGCCGGATATTTGAACGCAATTAGTCTTATGTCAATTGTGATAACACAAGAATAACAGGCCAATTGAAAAGTCCCCGGTCTACCATAGTAAAACAATTTTTTTTTTGAAAATTCTTTTTTATTATTCAAGGTAGTTCCCTTCGAGGGTGATACAGCGATTATAGCGGTCTTCCAAATTTTCGATACCATTTTTGTAGTACGATTTGTCTTTTGCTTCAAAATAGGCCTCAGTTTCGGCGATTACTTCTTCATCGGCGCTGAATTTCTTTCCAGCGACCATTCTTTTGAGGTCTGAGAACAGGATAAAGTCGCTGGGGGCCAGATCTGGCGAATACGGTGGATTTGGAAGCAATTCGAAGCGCAATTCCTGCAATTTTGCCATTGTTTTCATGGATTTGTGACACGGTGCATTGTCCTGATGAAACAAAACTGTTTTCTTCCTCAAATGGGGCCGTTTTTTAGCGATTTCATCCTTTAAACGATCCAATAACTCCATATAATAATAGCTGTTGATGGTCTGACCCTTTTGGAGGTAATCAATGAATATTATACCGTGCGCATCCCAGAATACTGATGCCATAACCTTGCCAGCTGACGTTTGTGTTTTTCCTCGCTTTGGATTCGGTTCATCGTGTGCAGTCCACTCAGCTGATTGTCGATTGGACTCCGGAGGGAAATGATGGAGCCATGTTTCATCCATTCTCACATATCGATGAAAAAATTCAGGTCTATTGCGCTTAAACAGCTTCAAACACTGCTCAGAATCATTACAACGTTGTTGCTTTTGATCGATTGTGAGCTCGCGCGGCAGCCATTTTGCACACAGCTTTCTCATGCACAGATATTCGTGAATGATATGATGTACCCATTCAGATGATATCTTCACAATGTTAGCTATCTCCATCAACTTCAGTTTACGGTCATTAAAAATTAATTTGTGAACTTTTTTGACGTTTTCGTCAGTGACAGCCTCTTTTGGGCGTCCACTGCGTTCGCCATCTTCAGTGCTCATTTCACCACGTTTAAATTTGGCATACCAATCAATGATGGTTGATTTTCCTGGTGCAGACTCTGGAAAGTCTTCATCAAGCCAAGATTTTGCTTCAATTGTATTTTTTCCCTTCAAAAAGCAATATTTTATCAGCACACGAAATTCTTGTTTCTCCATCTTTTTTCAAATAACAAAAGTAGCTACACTCAAAAAAATATATCTCACACACGAATGGTCGCACTGCTGTCAAATTTTTACACGTTTCTTTTAAAGGTTGGTTCTAACTGAAAAAAATATTAATTCAATACTAGCACCGCCGCCTGTGTGTCAGACCGGGGACTTTTCAATTGGCCTGTTACGATTCGTTTCCTGGAAGTGCAACTTGTGCAGATTAACGTTTATTGAGAAAGTAATCAAAGTAAGAAATTTGTTGCGAAGTTGGTTAAGAATACAGATTTTCATGGAAAGTTTTAAGGATGGAGAGAAAACCACCTTAAAAGGACCTTTTTAAAAGTATTCCATTGGGAAACAACAATATTTCATAAAATGCTGCATTATGCTGGCAAGGAAATACATAATTTATTAATAGACTATTATAACAATGTATACAAATTAATTGTAATGCAATTTCCTTAAAATGTCATAACAATTTCAACTGGTTTGTGACGTCTATATCTTTTGACATTTGTAAATGTAAATATCTATTCGAGTCTGTTTACTCTCAGCTCTCTAGAGACACTATTAATTACAAGGGGAAATTCATGTTTATTTAATGAAATTAAAGTAATGTAAATGTGTGTGGAGATATCTTAAGATTAGCCTTAAAGAAATCACATGTATCATTACCCCTTTTGCAAGATCATTTCTCATTTGCCCTTGAACTTTCTTCGACTCGTGACGACGCAGCTGTTGTTGTTATATATTTAGATATAGAAATACCTGATATCCAACCGATCCAACTGATATGGGAATTAGCAGCTTCTGTTGGGGAATAGCAGTCATTAAAGCTGCTAATGAATCATGGCGAAAACACGGCGTTCACAGCGTCACATCTATGTACGTGCGAATTGGCCAAAATCAAAAACGTAAGGCACGTGGCACAATTAACTCTGGATCTGCTTCTCTTCCGTCTGCTGTGATCCAAATATTTAATTTAAAAAATGAACAATAAAAACAAAAGGGTGACGCACATGCAACTGCACTTGGCATCCGTTTTTCTACGTAATATCTGCGTCAATTGGGAGCTATAATACGTTATTAGTTGACAAAAGGAGGTAGCAATCAATGACTAAGCTCAAATGAATGCTTGGCTAACCCATATATTCATTTGTATACGATTTCTTTTCACAGGTGCCTCTGTCCGTGTCCGAGTTGAGCAACGTAACCGCCGATTACGATGTGTCTGGAGAAATATCTTCCAAGGGTGAGTAGCTAAGAATACTTCCATGTTAACACATGATAAAATATGCCTTCCCTTGCAGAAACCTTCAAGCGCAGTGTCACAAGATGTAAGACCAATCATGAAGTATTAATTGTATTAAAATAAATTTATGTTAACACTTATTAAATTTCTTTTTAGCTGCCGTAAGGAATGCAACACCGGCAAGCTGCTCGCCGCAACCAACGATAGTTGAGCTGAAGCCACCTGGCGAGGAGGAGGCCAACTATTATTATACGCCATCCTGCACACGGATCAGTCGCTGCAACGGCTGCTGCGGTTCGACATTGATCTCCTGTCAGCCAACGGAAACGGAAATTGTTCAGTTGCGCGTGCGTAAGGTGGATCGAGCGGCAACTGGAGGACGCCGGCCATTCGCCATTGTCTCCGTGGAGCAGCATAAAGCCTGCCGCTGCGATTGCCGCACCAAGGCGGAAGACTGCAATGTGTATCAGTCGTATCGCAAGGATCTGTGCCGTTGCGAGTGCCACAATCTGGATGCACGGGACAAGTGCCTGGAGCAGGTGGATAGCAAGTACTGGGACGACGCCAATTGCACTTGCGTGTGCCGCTACAATCAGAGCTGCACCACCGGCACTGTCTTTGATGAGACGCAGTGCAAGTGCACCGACGTGAGTGGCTCCAGATAGGAGTGTGCCCTGCTCCCATCTCTCTCTCTCTCTTGACACCCTAACGCGAAGCTCCTGGGCTGGGCTGGGATGGGTTCTGGTCTAGTCTCTGGTCTGGGAATCGTTTGTGCTCGTCCTTGATTGGTATGCGGTGGGTTCCTGGTGGTGGCTACTTAGTTTAAGTGTTTCTATCTCTTTTAACTGACTCCCAAGCTTAATGCTGAGTGTCACAGAAGTCGCTGTGATTGTGAAATCAATTTCACTTAATATTTATAGAAATATAAATCCATAATGCATACGCATAGTACTTAAAGATGCGGAGTTAATTGAGTTTGATACATTTTGTATTCCCTTTTATTGAATATTCCCCTATTTCAGTGAATTACAACTAATGAGTAATTTTAAAAGACCGCATAAAATCAATTCTTAAATATCGAATTGTATTAGTTCATTTAGGAATTCGAAATCTATTTAGCTTTCTCTTTTTTTTTTTAGAAAATTATATATATTTATTTATTAAGCCGCCATTCAGGTTCCACAAGCTATAAAACTATCTTGTTTATATTTATTCAAGTGTTACTACAAGCAGCTGTTTATAAAGTCTATACACATTAGTTGTTTAACCAAGTGTTAAGCAATAAACAATAAGCTTATTTAGCTGCAACTTAAAGTCTTCCATTTAATCTAAGTATTGTCATTGTCTAATCACTTATTACACATGTATGTTTTTACCTTTGTTTCTCTCTTTGTATTTCATTTTAGATAAAAAAATTCGAGTATTTTTCTTAGAGTCCACAATCAATGCAATCCAAACACACACACACTACACACAGAAAATTGTTAACAATTGATTGGAATAATGTATAACTATTAATTAACTTGTGATATCGTTGAATTAATTCGTTTCTAAAACCTAACAAAAAATTGGCGTCTGTTGTTTAGAGATTGATTGGTTAAGGATGCAATATATGTAACTTATAGCTGAGTTGAGGCAGAAATGAAAGTGAAGATATGAGGAGACAACGTATTGTGTTTGTTGCATTGTGTGAGTACTTACATTTCCAGATTAAATGTTTATTTATCGAATTAATCTTAATGCATGCCTAACCGTCTCTGCCCTAATTATTAATTATATAGATATTCTGCTTGCGCTTATCCCAATTTCCACCCTTTCTATGTACATCCCTTAAATCTTCAATAATTATATTTAATTTACTAATTTAATCTGTCCCTCCTCCACAGCCATCGGCACCCATCGATGTCCTGGATCGCAAACGCTTTATTGTTCAGGCCGTGCAGGTGGATCCAGATAATACCACGCTATACAGTGTTTAAGGAAAGTGCCGAGGAGAAACGCCGCCTGAGAGTACTGCGAAAGAAATTACCCAAGAATTACTTAAACTAAGCGTAATTGCACATGTACTTTATGTATTATTTATAGTTATCGATTAAATCTAAGCTACTATTACATTCCCACAACCAATGTAAACTGCATTCCCTCTGTTTTTTCGACATAAAAACTACACAAATGTTTATTGATTGGCTTAAATTTCGTTTAAAGAGCCTTATATCTTAATTTACCATGTTTACGTTTCAGAAATTAATTGTTAACCTAAATGAAGCACACTCCAAAGTTCGATGCAAATTAAGCCAGTGTTGCGTTGCATTCTATATATGAATATAGTGTCAACTGGAAACCTAAGTAGGTCTTTATAGGTAGCTTTAACATTTGGAAAAAAAACCTCACATATGTAAATGATTTACATGATTCCTCCCTTTTTCACTTTCCTCTATTTCTAAAGATCGTTTGTAGGGCAGCTATATGATATAGTAGTCCGATAGTACTACTATATATATACTACTATAGTAGTACATCTTAAATTTAATGAAAATCTGTTGAAAACAGAAAATGTTATAATTTTTAATTATATTAATTTCTCGATCTTTCCTATGGAAGCTATACGATATAGTAGTCCGATTTTCATAAAATTGTACACAAAATTTTAAATTAATATATAATGGCTATATATCAAATTTGATGAAAATCTGCTGAAAACTTGAAAAGTTATAGTTCTTTTTCTTTTAATTTTCCGATCGTTCCTATGGTACCTTATATATGTATATATATATATAGTCCACCGATTCGGCATGCTCCGATTTATATACCAGTAAAATTGTATAGAAGAATAACTCCATAGTTCCGTTTAAATAGCTTATATTTGTCCCAAAACAAATCTCGCACATCTATACTTATGATTCCCAACTTGTTCTAACATCCCCGGAACGAAGTGACTGCTGCCGGCCACGTCTCAGATATGTGTTGTGTTACAAAAGTTGCAAGTCATTGTTTATTAGTGTTCAAAGTTAATCACTGATCATACATACTTAGTGATCATACATGCTTACTGATCATAGTTACTTACTGGTCATAGATTTTTAATTAATTACTGTTTAGAGTTACTTACTGCTCATAGTTAATTACTGGTCTTACTTAATGTTCAGAGTTACTTACTTCTCAGAGTTTATTACTGATCATAGTCCTATAAATCGTCTGATTGTTCCTATGTCAGCTATATATATGTATATATGTAGTCCACCGATTCTCTATGCTCCTAGATATATACCAGTAAAATTATATAGAAAAATATCTCCATAGTTTTGTTAGAATAGCTTGCTCTGTGTTCCAAAACAAATTTCTCACATCTGTGCTTATGATTCTCAAGTTGTTTTAACATCCCCGGAACGAAGTGACTTCTACCAGCCACGTCTCAGATATGTGTTGTGTTACAAAAGTTGCAAGTCATTGTTTATTAGTGTTCGAAATTAATTACTGATCATAGTTAATTACTGCTCCTGGATACTTACCATTCAGTGTTAATTACTTTTTAAAGATACTTACTGATCATCTACATTTAACAACCGTTTCTCTGTTTATCAATAATCATAATTAAAAAGGTATTTAATGAACAAGATTTGGTCGGCTTATTCTGTTTTTTTTTTCCGAATAAAAGCATTAAACATAGTTAAATTACCCGCGCGCATAATTTTAAAAACGATTACAAAATTTACTTGCATCGATATTTTCTTTATATACTGCTTCGCAAAACTATCGATATCGCCACATTATGGGTGCTTGTGGAAAAACAAAAATGATAAGTAAAAGTTATTGCTTTTAATCTACTTGTTTTATTACAATTATACTATATTCAGGTGCATCTTAAAACATCTTATAATTAGGTATCTTAAGTATTCGCGAATGTTGTTGTTTTTCCCACCTCTACCACGCGTTATTTAAACAGCTGGATAACCCGGCAATTTTTAATCGTCAATTCACCACACTAGCTATTCCAGCGTTAGTCAACACTGGTTCTCGTGGTAAAAATTAAGAAAACAACATAAAACGCCGTTCCTGATTTCCAAATACCATTTCCTTGAATTGTGGCCAAAATAAAAGACTTGCATAATGGGGCGCCGCTCCATAAACACCACCAAGAGTGGCAAATACATGAATCCCACGGACCAGGCGCGTAAGTGCGGAAAATTCAATAGCGGCGAATTGCTAACCCCACTCCCAACTTTCAGGCAAGGAGGCCCGCAAGAAGGAGCTCAAAAAGAACAAGAGGCAGCGCCAGATGGTCCGGGCGGCGGTCCTTAAGAACAAGGATCCATCACAAATCCTCGAGGAAATGGAAAAGATCGATGAGATGGGTGAGTAGCTAGCAAAACTAAGGCATTAAGTCCCACAAACTGATGCAGTGCCTCCATATTACAGAGTACAACGTGCTGCAACCCTCACCGCTGAACGAGAAGGTCTTGCGGGACAAGCGGAAAAAGCTGAAGGAGACCTTCGACCGCGTAATGCGGCTCTACGTAAGTCCTGTCTTTAATAATGTTAAAACTTGTGCTGAATATTCCCTTGCAGCACAACGACGAGCCCGAGCACTGGGCAGACCTGAAGCGCAAGGAGGTGGAGTACGAGAAGAAGCGGCTGAAAAAGCAGCAGTACTACGAGAGCGTCAAGCACGCCCAGAGTGTCCAGGTCGATGAGATTCCCCTGCCAGCGCCCGTTAATGCAACCACACCGGCCGGTACTGCCGCGGCGCCTGGTGCCGCCGGTGCTGGCGTTCTTGGCGGATTCGGTGCTGTCGGTGGCATACGCGTTCCCCCACCGCCCATGACCATGGCCCTGCCGCCCTATGCGCCTGGTGCTCCCCCAGGTGTAACCAAAATCAGTGACACGGCTGTAAGTGAAACGACGCAGGCTGAGAAGTCGAAAGACGACGAGGAGAAAGACTGGTTGGGCGTACCGCCGGGTCCACCGCCGAATCTGTTTGCCATGCCCGAGCTCGATTCTAATGCCGAGGGTAATTCAGACTACGATGGCGAGGCGGAGGAGAATGAATCGGATCAGGAGTTGTCGCAGAAAAAGAGCAAGGATAAGGGAGACAGAGAGAGGGAAACAGCGGAGCCCAGCAGCCAGAATATCGATGATTTTATGAAGGAAATGGAGCACGTACACAAGCGGAAGCATCGCAAGCTGGCGGCGGACAAGGCAGATGTCGATAAACTGCGGGACGACGACGATGAAGAGGACGAGGACTCGCCGAAGCATCAAGAACGAGACTCTAGCTCGGATAGAAGATCGATGACCAGCAGTGATAGCGAGGAGGATGAGCATCCAGATAAGGATGATGAGATGCCCGAGCTGCCCGCAATCAATCCTGTTCCAGCGAAACCCTTCCCCACAGTCCCAGCACCAGCTCCACCGACTGCACCCACACTTCCGGCGATTCCACTGCCACCGCCGTCTTCAGTGCCGGCGCCACCGCAGCTGCCGCATTTACCGCCAATTCACAATCTCGGACCACCGGGCATGATGTACCGGCCGCCACCTATGCGACCGCCACATGCCGGTTCCGGGTTTGGACTCCGCATGCCGCCTGGTCCACCACCAGGAGCACGACCACCGCATGCTCTCGGACCCATGCCTCGCATGGGTCTCCGAATGCCACCGGGTCCGCCGCCAGGCCTACCGCCACGACTGGCTCACCACAAGCAGCTGGGCAGTAGCGGTGGCGGAGGTCCACCCAAGGATTCTGCTAAGGGTGTGACCACCATTACAGCCAAACCGCAAATCAGGTGAGTTATCATCGCATCCTGGATCCTCTATAAAAACGATATATTAATTTATTAATTTCCAGGAATCTGAGTGCCGATGTCACCCGCTTTGTGCCATCGACGTTGCGCGTGAAGCGTGAGGATCAGCGGCGTACGGCGGCGAGACCTCGTCATGCAACGGGCGATGCCAGCCATGCACCCACTGAGGCGCACAGCAAGCCGCCCACCAAGGATGATGCCTATCTGCAGTTCATGAACGAGATGCAGGGTCTGTTGTAGCATTTGGCGGCGAAATTTCGGCTGTATATTTTGTGTTTAGTGTACGCTTAGATAAAGAATTAGTCAACCAAAATGAATACTATATGTTTTACTTGATTACCCATTTGCAGAGGGTATTATATTTGTAGAAGAAAAGCTTTTCACTTCATAATCAAGTTGATTTTGTTAAGAAGTATGTATATTTCTGGATAGAAGGCATATTATGATGTCCCTTTGGAACAGTCAAGTCCTTTGTCGCATTATCAATTTATATAGAACGAATGCCACTGAATTTTGAAGTCACAAACAATTAGATTTCTCTCTCTTAAGATTGAAACAAATCATGTATGTTGGAAGGTGGAAGTTGCCTCTGTTTGCTCCCAACGCTGCTCTATAGATTATCTAAAGGAATTTAAATACAGCGAGACGAAATTCGCCTATTAAATTAATTATTTTGAACTTACAAAAGTGAATCCACATTATAGACTTAAATGGACTTCCAATATATACATGGTTTATTTAAATATTTATTTCCAATTTGAGAAAAAGTAAGTAATACATTTTCATAATTAGTTTTACAGTTTAAATACATATATTTACATATTTTTGAAGGTTCTCCTTTTTTTTGTCTAAAGCAAGTCTAATACTTCTTTCTATTTCATTAATTTTACTTTTTAGTTACAATAATATGTGTGTATGTATTTTGCATAGGATTTATAACAAATTGTACAAGTGAAAAAAAATAATGGTGTAAAAAAAAAGAAAAATAACTTTGGGAAGCCAAAGTTTGTATATCCATGCAGCTTGTAAAAGGATCCAGGATCGAACATGATCTCTTCACTGACTACAACTTCACTGACTGCTATTTGACTTCACCGGAGACGGCGGTGATCCTCCCTTCACTGGCTTCTTGTGGAACGGCCGCATCTCTACAATATCCGCCTTTAAGGCCCGGAAACTCCTCCTCAGCGAGTCGGACACCTTTTTCGTGTAACTCGTGCTGTTGCTGCACAGAGACAATTTGTCGTCGCCGTGTCCATTACGCAAATCACCAGCCAACGGACGCAGTTCATCCTCCAGTGGCGTTGAATCGTTCAAAGTGTTTCGTAGATATTTACGATTGAAATGCAGCTGCGGAGTGCCCCACTTGCGCTCAAGTTCCGGCATACCATTGCCGCTGGCCACCGAGTCATCCTCCGTATCCGGCGAGGCCATCTCAGACGGAGTCTGCGCAGCGACCACCTCGCCAATGGCTTCCTTATATGTGCGCGTTATGATCATATTAGATGGCACACTCTTGCCATTGATGCCGCCATTGGGGGCTTGCTCGAGATCGACAGGCTGCGACGGCAGACTCTGGCGCGGAGGCTTCGCCCGGCGAGGTGACTTCACCGCCAGCACACTGACCCGATAGTGGAGGACCTGCAGGGTAAGAAAATATCATAATTCATTAATTATATGTTTCTATTTCAGTTTAATTTATATTTTGTTGCACCCCATAAAATACTCTGCGGGGTTAGTTAAATAATTTGCAGCAATGTACTTATTTATAACTGACTGATAACGCTTGTTAAATTATTTGAGATAACGGTCGACAAATTTCTTATCAATGTGTAAATCTATTCCAGACAATTTGAAGAACTGTTTTTGGGAAAACTGCAAAATTATCATGGCAAAAATAAATAAAATAAAATAAGTTAGCTAAGGGTAGCTGTCTCTCCCTACTTTTTAAATTACAAATAACTTTCTGACCAACTTAAAACCTTCCTTAAGTCCAAAGACTTTTTCAAATTACTTTTCCCCATATGTTTTTACCTTATCCTGATCCATAAAGCGATTCAATTCGCTCAGGGGTATGCTGACGCACGTGCCCTCCATCAGGATATCCTTGTCATACTCGCTGTGCACTGGGAACTTCTGGGTCATGGATAGGGCTTCGTTGTCCGGTTGCAAAACCGTGACCTCGTAGGCGAAATTATACTTGCTATCCCTCCGATTCGAGGTGCAGGTCATGGTAAACAGGATGCGCTGACGATCATGGATCTCATAGAAGTTGAACATCTCGTCATGGGCCTGGAACACATAGTACCCAGTGAGTGGCTTACGCCGCGTCACCAGATTCCACTCCAGGTCCGCACTGTTGGAGCGGAACAGCCGATCCGTGTGCTCCTCCTCCAGGTGCTCCTTCCACTGCACCTCGCGTCCCTGCCAGCGGCATTCGCCCCACACGCGACCCATGAAGCACTTCATGGGCTTGTACATGCATTGTTGCTCGTGCCAGGGCAGCAGGACCACTGGCATTCGCACCTGGCAGCCGCCGGAAGCATGTCCACACCGGAAGTGAGCCTTGGCGCACAACGCCTCCACAGTCAGCGAACGGGAATTGGTGAAGGCCTCCTGTCAATGCAGAGAAAGACACATTTGATGGAATCAGGTATGTGCAATTAAAATTTATAATATGTATAAAAGATAGGACTGTCCATCTCCCCTTGAGAGTTGATTAAAGTCGTAAAAGTGGCTGCGCGTCGATGATATCAATCTGAGCCTGAACTTCTATTTAGTTTCTACTTACTGACACGTCACTAGATAAGAACTTAGGAGGAAACTCTATATATAGATAGATAGGTGTATTGATAACCGAACGAACGTGGTGTCAAGCTGACGTCAATTCTTACCTTGCACAGTGGGCACATAAGGAGAATGCGGGTGCATTGCTCACAGATACTGTGGCCACTCTTGCAGAGCAATATGGGAGCCTTCATGGCACCGGCACAGCCCGGGCAACGCAGCTCCTCAATCAATCCCTCGTAGTGACGAGCGGAAACGGTGGCGGGTGCCATGTCTTCGCCAGATTTCCCTGCCGATGTTGCCGGCGAACTCTCTGTGGGCGATGTGACAGTGGATGGAGCTGCCGCGGGAAAGCTCTGACGGATCGGTGTACTGGCTGGTGAGACGGGACTCTTGCTATCGCCGGAACCTATGCTCCGGGTGCGACTCAGCATAGGTGGTTTGGGGGGCGGTGAGAGCGGAGATCTGAGTGTCACAGTACTGGGACTAGGTAGTGTGGCGTACTTTACATTTAAGGATAAGGTACTCGGCGGCTGTGGCTTTTCCTCATTTGATAGCTCTGATTTCTCTTCGTCTTTGTCCTCCGGCAATTCCTTTGTAGGCTCATCAGCCAGTTTTTGCACTGCCTCCACTGCCACCTCCGTTTTCTTCTCCAACTCTTTTAGATTCCGCTCCAGAACCTCTTCATCCTCATTGACTTCGGTGTTGCCGTTGCCCACGGCAATGCTCTCCTCGGCAATGGTCCCATTGAGGAATATCCTGCGCTGTTCATTGATCTGCTCGATGGTCTTCAGCTGACCCAGGATATTCAACTGCGGCGGCTCCTCCTCCAACGTTAGGCCTCCGTTATTTGTAGCCGCAACTGCAGACATAGTGGCAATTTTGCGAAAAACTTATTGTGTAACTGCTGTGGATCGACAGTTGCTCCCGAGCTTGGTGGGCCAGAATGTGGCTTTCTTCTGCTTTTGCCCGGGGCTGCGTCAACTCGGGTACTCCGGTCTCGCTCCTCGCTCGCTACTCGGGGGACTCGGTATCTTATCAGAGAGACGCCTAACTAAACTAACTTTACCGGCGGCAATCGATTTGGACTTGTGATAAACCCAAAGCGTGTACGTATGTACATATCAAGTGCTCGGCCCATGGGCCTTCTTTCGTATTTTTTTTTTCTTTCCTCTTTTCCGGGAACGGACACGGACACCACGACCACAAATTTGAAATGTTGCATCTGAATTATTGGCCAGTTCCATTTTCATTACATTTGTGGGTTTCCTTCCGTTGCTTTCGGTGGCTTTCTTGCCTTTTCCGTTTCGCGGCTGGGGGAAAAATGCCGCAGCAATCAATGTCAAGGTGTTGACGTGTGGCCCACAGTGGGTTCTCGATAGGATGAACTAGGGGAAGAAGAGGGTTTTCTTTTTACAAAATGTGATATTAGTTTCCTTAATAACTAGGATTATATACTATACTTAAGCTAGGGAAACTCTCTATATAACAAGTAGAGTAAGTTTTGGGATAAATTTGTAAGATTTGAATCTCAAGAATGATTTTGAAAATGAAATTCTGGTTGGTTTTGTGGGGTTTCAGAGGAAGAAATGTGAAGATATTATTTTTAGCAAGTATATTTTAGCATAATCTAATCTAAACTGAGGGAAACATAATTACATTTAATTTTTTATACTTAATATATTTCGAATTCAAGAATTATTATAAAATAATTCATAATAACCCTTTCTACTGTACATGTATGGGCATGTAATAGGCCCATAAGCTCAAAATGAACAACAAAGAGCAACAAGCAACGACATTCAACGATGTAAACAGAAACCAAGGCATATCGATCGATAACCAAAGGGTGTTAGGGTCGTCTTCAATAACTTGTATTGAAAATAATTAAACAATTGTAAAGGGATATTATATTACTTTACAACATTGTAACAACAATGTAAGTTAATAGAAAGTAACGTAGCCCAATACATATTTGTATATTTACTACAAATATTATTTACTTCTAACTATAAGAATACTATCTAAACGAAAAGAAACGGGAAAGGAAGCCAACTTCGATGATATATAATCTCTTGTCAGTTATCCGAAGGATAATCGCTTACAGAGTGCTGTTAAGCACCAACTTGTGCTGTAAAGCGCAAGGACATTCTAATAAATACTATGATTTTAAGCCTTGTAATACTTTAATTATACAAAATGCTAACAGCTAATGAATACATTTTAAAAAGTTGAATGTGAAGAATTTGAAAACAATAGTGAAGCTAACGATACATTCTTCGAGCTCTTTATAAAAAGCACATCACTTGCCTGCCGGATGATTAGGCAAGAAAATAGACAGAGCACTCTTCTTTCACGTTGCTTCCCACTCAAAATAAAAAAAGGCGTCTATTTACATACTAAATCTTATCAAACGGGAAGCCACTCAGCCCGGCTCGGCTAGCTAATTCATCGTGCAATAAAAGAGACTTGGACTGGCATATACATATGTATGTAGGTACATTTTAGGGCCCCCGAGGAGAGATGGGGGACCAATGTCATAGCGTTGACATTGAAAGTTAACTGCCGGCAAAGGCAGTCAGTCGGCTTTCGAATTTCCGTGCGCGCGCAACCAGCATCCATCCAAGCATATAGTATATCCATTCATTCCATATATCCATGTCGCCGCCTCGTCACATCCTCAAGCTAAGCCTGGCGGAGCAGCGCCAGTTCATCGATTCCTTCGACCTGGTCATTAGCGATTGCGATGGCGTCGTTTGGATGCTCGTTGGCTGGATTCCCGGCACCGGTCCGGCCGTTAATGCCCTGAAAGCGGCCGGCAAGCAAATCAAATTCGTGTCCAACAATAGTTTCCGCTCGGAGGAGGGTTACATGGAGAAGTTCCAGCATATTGGCGCTCAGAATGTGCACGAGGACGACATTGTGCATCCGGTGAAGACGATTGTGAGGTACCTGAAGAAGCATAAGCCAGGGGAACGGGTTTTCTCCCTCATGTCCTTGGAGGCCAATGAGACGTTGCGTAAGCACAACATTGAGTACGAGTCGCTGGTAAGGGAGATGGTGAATCATTTGCTTTGGCGTTGGTTTATATAAACCCCTAACTCTTCTTCAGAACATCAAGGAGCACCTGACAGCCGCCTCGCTGGTCGAACATCTAGCCATTGAGAAGCCCGTTGGAGCCGTTCTCTTTGACATTCACTTGGACTTGTCCTATGTGGAGCTGGCCAAGGCTATTAGGCATTTGCAGGAGAACGAGAATTGCCAGTTGATAGCCGGTGGTAGTGATGTTATTATGCCCTTGGCAGAAAATCTTAATGTGGCTGGATTCTTTGACTTTTTGGAGCATGTCAAGCGTTACACTCAACGAGAGGCAACCTTTTTAGGCAAACCTTCTCCAATTTTAGGTGATATGTTTGGCGAAATGTTTGATATCCCAGACCCCAAGCGGTGCATCTTCATTGGTGACACCCTGGTGCAGGATGTGCAGTTTGGTAAGGCCTGTGGCTACCAATCCCTGCTGGTGCTCAGCGGTTGCCTCACAAAGGAGGATATGCTGAATGCACCAGTGGAAGCGCAACCGGATTATTATGCCGATAGCTTGGCGGACTTTACGCAGCTCCTTCAGAATATAAATCAATAGAGTTTTAGATGCCCACCGGTTTATGGTTTTCACAATACTTTCTAAAAGAGAAAACCTACAAATAATAATAACCTTTAAAGAAATACCTGAAATAGCAATAAATACTACAAAATTGTTCCTAACTTATATAGTCTTTTTGCAAACCTAGCCTCAAAGAACGAATAAGTTCACTGAGAAAGGACAGTACCAAAAAATCCCCATTAAATATAAAACAAATATAGAAGTAATAATACGTACGTGTTGGATATAAGCAGAGTAATCAGTCCTGGCGGCACATAATCAAACATGGGGAATATTCGCTTGCTTCAGGAAGCTCTTCACACGGATTCGTTGCATAAGGACGCTGAAAAATGGCGAGAAAATGAATAAAGTTAATAAATTAGTCATAAATAATTCCATCTTCTTCGACCTTACACTCAACAACTGAGCCGGAACTGTGGAACTAAACGAGACACCAGACACTAGTTGGTAATACAGGCGATGTTTCATCAAACTAAGGCATCCACGATGATTTTTCTTGATGAAACTTCGCCTGAACTACCAAGAAATGTCTAACATAACATTTAGTTAGGCTTTTTTGGTTTGGTTTTCTATAATCACGGCCCTTTCTTCACTTGTGATGTGAAGCTACACAAATTTGGAACTGGAACTTTATACCCTTGTGAAGTAGTCATTTCTGACCCTATTATCCATATATATTATTGATCTGAATGATTAGCCTAGTCGATATAGCTATGTCTATGACAGAAAATCAGCAAATCAGCTAGATGGTTATGATACACAGTCCAGTTTCTTACCAGGTGAATTTCCGTCATCTGCTCCACTATCCCCAGTCCTTAATCCTTAGTACGCTTTTCACTCCCTCTGCATTCTGGCAGCTCTCGCACATTATGATGTAATTAAAGATGTCCAGCGTCTTGTTGTTTATTCTGAAGGATTCCTCCACCAACCTGCAAGAAATTTGTAGTGCTTTAGTGAACGGCTGTCCAACTTGTTGCTCACAGGGCAACTGTTACCCCACTTTGATGTCATGGATTAGCTGGGGGACTACATGCAGTGGTTGTTCGTGCATCCTGCTGGTCAGTGTGTTTCACAATTCTCCTTAAAACGTATTATTTATTAAAAATTTTATGCAAATACGGAAAGAAGCAGCCATTGCAATTTGTGTGTTATCGATAAATATGCGCTTTTTGATAGGGATGAGCAAATCAGATATCGCATAAAAGCAGCTGATTTGTTTGCGCAAGTTGTCCAAAACGATTAAAGCCAACTGAATAAATAAATATAAATAAACATTAAATTAAGTAATAACTTAAAAATAAGTTATATACAGATAAACTGTAAATTCCTTAACATTATATTATTATTTAAACTTTAATTTAAATATAATTTGAAATAATATGTTTATTCTTAGTCATGATTAAAAAATAAAGCTTATGTTAAACAACACATGTATATTTAACATCTATATTTAATCGGCTTAAGCCTTGACTTAAATAAAAAGATTATAAATAAATATTGAATCTTTTTGCCAACTCAATGTTCAATAACAAATATATAAAACGATTGAGCCAATTGAACAAATATATATAAATAAAAATTAAATTATTAATTAATTATTATTATTTATTATATTATAGGAAAAATGAATTATATACAACTGTAAATTACTTCATATTTTATTATTATTTAAACTTTAAATTAAATATAATTTGAAAAAAAGGGTATTCTTTGTCATAATTAAAAAATAAAGCTTATGTTAAACAACACAAGTATATTTAACACTATAGCTCTAGCCTTGACTTAAATAATAAGATTATTAAAGAATATTTAATCTTTTTGCCAACTCAAGGTTCAATAACAAATATATAGTTCGCAAACAATAATCATCAATAATCGGATGTCCTCTAAATTTATAGATCATTAATAAATATGGAAATTATTAGGCATTAACGTTTCTGGTTAGTCAAATATACATATATATAATTTGTGGATCGTTTATTTTTTAAGTCGGCCGCATTGCCTGTTGAAAACAGCTTGCCGCCAAGAAACATATTTATCTTTATTTTATTTGGCAAAGCTTGGGTGTTGATCACACAGGAATGTGTTTTTTATGTTCATTTTATATTAATACAAATAAAAATGACTCTGCGATATTAATAAATCCGCAATTTGTAGCTTTTTTAAGTTCGTGACACTCACGAACTCAGATTAGTCATAAGCATGCGATTATGCTAGTTGGGGTCACGCCAAAGTGTCATCCCTGCTTTTTGGCTATCGAAGTGACCGGCTTAACAACAACAAAAACAACAATATGGCGATAAAAACTTGCCGCTGCTGCTGCCGTTGGAAATTTCAGTTGTTGTTTACGTGTCGAGTCGTCTTCTTTTCCACTGCCAACTGCCAACACTAACAAATTTGGCCAAAACTCGGAAAACTTGATGAGCAACAGCAACGAAGCGTCACACGAACTGAAGGACGGCCAACCGAAGACTGAAGCTGAAAAGGTGTTTTTCTGAAAAAGGTTCTTCGCCTCCGGGATCTCAGAATAGAGCCGCACGCCGTTTATTTGCTTTCCTCTTCGGCTCTCCGGTTCCGTCTTCGTCTTCGTCTCCGTCTCCTATTGTTTGCCCCTGCTCTCGGGGATTTTGAATTGGAATCGGAATAAAAGGAGAAACACGACTTGAAGCACAATGAACATACATAGTGAGTAGATGGGGTTTATGTGTTTAGTTGGCCGCTGTCGCTCCAGAACTGCTGTGCTCACACAATGCTACCCGCACCCGTTTACTATCGTACAGTGAATACCAACACGCTGAAGTACATCAGCCTGCTGACGCTGACGCTCCAGAATGCGATCCTGGACTCAGCATGCGCTATGCCCGCACCCGGCCCGGCGAGATCTTCCTCAGTTCAACGGGTGAGTAGAGTCAGGGGCACAGAGCAGGTGCAGGTGGAGGTTGGAGGTTGGAGGTGGCACTCAACGCTTATACGTGGGCCTGTCCACGCAAGCAATACTAGTTATGGCGGGCATTAGAGTCGTTTGGGGAGGAGAAGAAGTTGGAGCACGGCAAGGGAAGCTGATAAGCTGAACTACTTCCGCTTGTGGCACCTACATACCATACCCTGGCCCACAGTTAGATAAAGAAATAATTGTTAGGTCTTGAGTGCGGGTTTTCACCAAGATAAACCAAAGACTTGAAAATTACGAAAAAGCATGGTATGGGGATTTGAAAGCAAAATGCTTTTTATAGGTTTAATCCTAATGGTTTTCTGTCGTTGGTACATTTATATCTTTCTTTAAAGTACAATTTTAGAAACGAATTTATTAGTTAAATCGTTTTATTATCGTCTTGTAAAGCAAATCTATAGCAACATACTTTAAAGCTTTATAAATCCGCAACGTTGATAGAAGAAATGTTCGTAAACGAACCCAGAAACAAGATTTTAGTGAACAAACTTCAAAGACTTATATTAACCTATCTTAATAGGTCATTTCTTTTAAAAATTAATACTTTTAAGCTGAAACAGCTAGTTGACTTTAAGAAGACACCCCATAGTCACGCTCCAACCTTGAATCAATTGCTTAACTATGATTTATATATTTATTTCTACTCCTTTTCCAGCCGTACTTATGGCGGAGTTCGCCAAGCTGATCACCTGCCTGTTCCTGGTTTTCAACGAGGAGGGCAAGGATGCCCAGAAGTTTGTTCGATCGCTGCACAAAACCATTATTGCCAATCCAGTGGACACACTGAAAGTGTGTGTGCCATCGCTGGTGTATATCGTCCAGAACAACCTGCTGTATGTGTCAGCCTCCCATTTGGATGCGGCCACCTACCAAGTGACATACCAGCTGAAGATCCTCACAACGGCCATGTTCGCCGTGGTGATATTGCACCGTAAGCTGCTCAAAACCCAATGGGGTGCCCTCTTGCTCCTGGTAATGGGCATTGTCCTCGTTCAACTGGCGCAGACAGAGGCCCCTAGTAGTAGCACTGCTAGTGGAGGAGCTGTTGCAGCCACCGCCGCGGCTGCTGGAGCACCTGAGCAGAACCGTATGCTGGGCTTATGGGCTGCCCTGGGTGCCTGCTTCCTATCCGGCTTTGCTGGCATCTACTTCGAAAAGATCCTCAAGGGAGCCGAGATCTCCGTATGGATGAGGAATGTGCAGCTTAGTCTGCTCAGCATTCCCTTCGGCCTGCTCACTTGCTTTGTGAACGATGCCAGCAGAATCTACGACCAGGGCTTCTTCCACGGATACGATCTGTTTGTTTGGTATCTCGTGCTTTTGCAGGCCGGCGGTGGCCTAATTGTGGCCGTAGTGGTCAAGTACGCTGACAACATCCTCAAAGGCTTTGCCACCTCACTGGCCATAATCATCTCCTGCGTGGCCTCCATATACATCTTCAACTTTAATCTCACACTGCAGTTTAGCTTAGGTGCCGGCCTGGTTATTGCCTCCATTTTCCTGTACGGCTACGATCCATCCAAGGCGGCGGCGAAATCGCCGGGGATGCAAGCACCTGGCGCCGGCGACGAGGAGAAGCTGCTGCCGCGCGTCTAGTACGGAATGTGGCACAGATGAAATACATCGAACAGTATTTGTTGTCCACCAACGCACCCATTCGATGGTTGATGAAAATTCTACACTGTTTGTGTTGTGTTTTGTATATATATCTGTATATATATAAGAGTTATATAAAAGTCTGGACAATTTATGAACCGATTTCGCCTGCAAATATTTACATACTTGCATAGTTTAAGTTAAATTAAAGAGAATCACGTGTCTTTATCTCATATGTAATTAAAAAATATGAATATATATATACATATATACACAAATGTTTATACAGTTAAATTATAAATTAAGATATTCGATAGCTGTTATAAAGTACAGAATATTAAAACGTGACATGACCTATTTTAAATATATCCCTTAGATATATTGCATATCTTACTTTTGAAAATACTTAAAATTTGTTGTATGAACGTTTTTTGGCTTGTTAAATTATTATCTGTACTATAAAATGCGGCTTTTCTTAAATGTGGCTAGCTAAAAAAAATGTTTGTTTATCAGAAGGGTTTTATATTATCTTAAAATATGCCAACGTTATCCTAAATGTACTTTACCAGCTAACCTTAAGGCAAAGTATAGCATAGAATTATCGAAGGAATATATATATATAGTGCTTTAAAACACTACCATATATATATTTTGTCCTCTTTTAATTATATTCATTCGCATTCAATGAATTTCATTAATTTTTTTCTAAAAGCTATGCTAACTTGTTTCTAGTATCAACGTAACTCTATTTGTGGCGTAACTTTGTTTTAAATAAAAATATAAATCAAAAACTGTGGTCTTTGTTTTGGTTTTATTTAACGAAAATTATAATTTTTAGAAACTCAAAAAACTTTTCGATTTTATAAATGTTAAATAAATGAACAGATGTTTCGTAGCGATTTGATTACGTTTCATCTTAAGGTAGAACTTAAAAGTAATTAGTTTTCATAACTTGTCTTTATAGGAAACAAAAAAATATTGAATTGAATATAATATTCAAAAAAATGCACGCATTGTTCTTTGCGAATATATAGCATATATAAATTATAAATATAAGTATCGCCTAAAGACTTAATATAAGCACTTAGAGCGAATCGGTGTGAACTGATGAGATAGAGGAATATTCCGTATATTCCGGTAGCAGTGTGTCGTTTGTTTGTTAATATTTCTTAGGAGCTATGGCTAACGGCGGACAGACCAGATGCTACTCCACCCAGGCGACGGCCACGTCATTGGATTGACTCTGCAGGGACAAGACTAGTTCCAAGATGCGAAGCGCCGGTCCCAGCTTCAGGCCGAAGCGGGTCATCACATCTTGGCGGGTGAGCAGCAGGAGGGAGGTGCCATCGATGTCCTGATAGCGGAAGACGTTCGCCTCATTGGGATAGCGATTTTTCACAAAGTGGACAACCTGTTCCACGGTCCAGCTGGATACAGGGTTCTTCTTGATGTCCACAATGGCGGCGGCAGTTCCTGCTGCAGGTGATGATGAGGATGTTGATGGATATGAGAAAGAACTATTCTTTGGCGACTCTGGGGACTGCTCATGTTCTTCCAACTTTTGTTTTTTCTCTTGGTTGTTATCCTCTTGGTCAAAATCCTCTGGTTCTCGTTTCACTGTTACTGGCGAGCTACGCTCCTTCTCGTTCTCCGGCTCCGGCTCCTTAGGATTTTCCAGCTTCTCTTCTTTCTCTGGCTTCTCCGGTTTCTCAGGCTCCTCAAGCTCCTCAGTCTCGTCTAAGTTATCCGGCTTGTTTAGCTTCTCCAGCTTCTTCTGCTTAGCCGATATATCCGACTTGTCCTGCTTAGCCGATATATCCAGCTTGTCCTGCTTAGCTGACGTATCTATCTTGTCCTGCTTAGGCTTGACCGGCAACTCTAGTTTCTCCAGCTTCTCCAATTTCTCCAATCTTTCTAGCTTGGATGGCTTCTTCTGTCCAGTGGGATCGGAGAGAATGCGCTTCTTGCGTCCCGCATTTGTCTTTTTAACCAATGGCGACGGCTGCTCTCCGCCGGACGAGCTGGTATTGTTAATGGTGCTGTTATTGTTGTTGTGGTTCATGACAGTGATTTCCTCGCAACGGAAACACTTCCATTTGGGATCAACCTCGATGGTTTTGGTGCTAGGCTTAAGAGCCTTATTGTTGCAGTGCGGATGGTAGGCCTCGGCACACACACTGCAAATGGGAATATTGCGTCCGCGTATGTTGCAAACGTTGCAATAGCGACACTTCTCGCATTTGTACTTCTTTCGGGCTAGGACCAGGTTCTCGAAATTTACTGCAAGGCAAGGAAAGTGCCCTGAAATAAGTTGGGAAATAGATATGTAATTAGTTTAAGAATTATTTCTTAGGTTTGCTTTGCTCCTCTTTTGAAAATTATGTGTAAACAGCAGGACTTCACTCGGAGAACTAGTATTACTTCTATTCGACATTTGTTGCAAAGGATTCAGATTTAATTAAAGGGGAACATATTAATTTTTTCATTTAAATAATACAACTTTGCTTTAAATGACACAAGCTTGCCAATTAATGGAAAGTGCATTCGGAATTTACAGAAACTTGGACAGAAATTGAAGAATCACTAACAACATACATAAGTCAGGTGAGGTAATCTTAAAGAATTTGTATCAAACTTGATAGCGAAACAAAGATATGGTTGAATTATATCAAATATTTTCGCAAGCAAGATAGAAAGATATCTCTAATCCCTAATCCCTATTCTAGTTAGTTTTAGTAATGATTTTGAGGATATATTTACATTTTTGCATGCAGGTCTTGCAAGTTAGAAAGTTGCTCTTGTGGCCAGATCCTCGTTTGGGCTCGCTCTTGTTGCACTTCTGGCACGTGTCGAATTTGCCGCTCTGCTGTGGCTGGAGCGTCTGCGATGTTTGCTGTTGCTGCTTCTCCGATGTGGAGGGACTAGGATTCGATTCCAACGAATCGTTAGCCTCTGCGGCTGCCGGCACATTTGCGGGTGGCGACTCTTCATTGCTGGCCACTGCGGCCGATGCAGGCGCTGTTGGGCCGCCACTGCCAATAGAGCTGCGATTGCTAGCTCGGGATATATAGTTGTCGGATGGATCGTAAACCTGCTTAGGTTTCTGCAGGAAAATCAAAAAATGTGAGCAGTGGGTGGCGTAATTCAACATCTTCAACAACTTACCTTCACCCGGCCAGTTGTGCGAACCGAGGCCGCGGCAGCCGCGGCAGCCGCAGCGGCCGCCGATGCACCAGACGAAGTTCCCGCTGCCGGAGCGGTGGCGTCTGTGCCATTGGTGGTACTGGGACCAACCGGATTGGCGGCTGGCTCCTCCTTGGCCTCGTCTCTGTTGCGTTTCATATTCGCCGGCAGAATCCTCGAAAAGAGCAACAAACAAAACGAAGATTTACTTGCGCGCTCGGTTGTTTAGTGTGACCACCCAGCAGGGCCTCGCTAAAACGGCGGTTAGTTGGTATTTTTTATTCTTTCGAAAATAATTCAATGTAGCCAACATTTTTTATTATTTTAAAACGTTTTACTAAAAATAAGTTATATAATTTAAGTTTGGAAGCACATATTTTAAACAATTATAAAATATTTGTGTTTCTTCAAAGTTATTGCGTTTGTAGATACATGACTCTTTGGTTGTTTATGGTATTATTAGGGGATTTTCGACAGACCACGTTGTGGCGTTAGTGTTAAAATTAGAAACTTTATTTGTTCCAGGAAAATACATTTCTTTAGAAAAACAACAAACTATTTCTTCCCCAAAATAAACAAAAAATAAAAAACTTTATAGAGATAGATAAAGATATTTAAACATATTTTAAGTACATAAATAACTAGAATTTAAAACCATAATTTTAAAACTTTTCCAGCTGTACATATTTCAGATTAATATTTTTCTTAATTACAATTATTATTAAATAGTTATTTTAAAACACAATAAAATAAAAAAAAACATATGAAAATAAAAGTACTAAGTGAAAATATTTAAAAAAAAAGAACTCTCAAAACATATTTTTTATGAGTTGCTTGATTTTATGAATTATATTGCAGGACAAGTGTAAAAATTCAACACTTTAAACATTTATCATTGTCTTTTAATGCAAATCTTAACAGTAAAATAATCCAATCGCATCCAAGCTCTACAAAAACACTCAATAAGTACAATAACTTAATTTTCGGAATAAATTTACAATTGTCAACTATCTATAAAAACGTCCATAACTATTGGAACTGTGTGCGCTTTTGCATCCTGGATTCTCGGTGCAATTGAAGCGAGTAACGCTTGGAGAGCGGGAGAAAGGAAGATCGTCTTTGCTGCCTCTAATCAATCTTAATGCGACGGCCATAGCGCCAGCCCAGTTGCACCAGATCCCGATGAGCTAGAGCCCAGGACAGAAGGCAGACAATTCCAGCCAAGACACCCACACCCAGATGTGTGGCCAGGCCAGAGCTTTGGTACTGTAAGGTAACAATAAATAAACAAATCAGTAATATAAAACCTATATCATCTCGTTGTAAAACTCACCCAATAGCAAACAATACCGGCCAGGAGGAGCGTTCCACCGAAGAGCTTGCCCGGCCAGAGGCCCAGCAATGGGTTCAGCGACAGCGGTCGGTATTGCTGCCGGATATAGTAAGTGCTGTACAGAATCCGACTTAACATATTGATGCAGTTGGCAAAGATGAAGCCAACTGGTCCGAAAATGCCGGTCAGTATATAGGAGAGAACCAGGAAACTGACCGAGAAGATGGCCATAAGATAGTTGTACTTGTCGATATCCCGACTGGTGTTCGTGGCGAACATGTAGCCCTCACTGATCCCGTTCACGGCCAGCAGATAGATGGCCAGGCAGTGCCACTGCAGTAGACTTTGCGGCAGACCGCCAGCCACAAAATCCGGGCCGCCATAAAGCAGGAGCACAGGATGTGAATAGCTCTGTCCAAAGGTAAATGCTATTAGGCCAATGGAGCTTACGCCAAGGAGCAGATTGTTAAGGACACTGCTCGCCTGTCGCACACGCTCCGGCGGCTGCTTGGCCAATCTCAGATCCCGGGTCAGCGTCTGCGTGAAGTAAAAGTAAGAGCTGTCCTCGATGGGCCGGAAAATAAAGCGGGCGGCCATGCTGCCGAGATTGTTGACCACATCATAGGTGGCCTGCTCTCCGAAACTTAGCACTGGCGATACGGACATCACGTACTTCTCGCCCTCCGTCAGGATCTGCTTCAGCACACCTTGCTTCACGAAGCTCAGCGTCAGGGTCTGCAGTTCCCGGTTCAAGGGTTTTCCATTCGGATTGAACATAACGCCGGGCAGAAAGTCACGCAGCTGTTTAAAGGGAAAATCATCCATATGCTCGTACAGCGAGACTTGCCAAGCCTTGGCAGCCGGCGGCTTCTTCCGCGATTGCTGTGCCACGTAGCTCTTGAAGCCCTTTAGGTAGAAGTAAAAGAAGCCATACTGGCCAACGACAATGGTCACTGCGCTGGACAGTTGTGCCACGGCAAATGCATTGATGGCCGCACTCCGATCGCCCGTCACAATCCACAGGAAAATGGCCGAGCGCACCAGGATGTGCAGCGTGTTCAGTAGGATCTTTAGCTTCACGAAGCAAAAGACCTGGGCCACAAACACTGCCGACTCGGCGAACAGTTCCAGGACACAGGACAAGGCCACCGCGTAGCAGGCAAACTCGTACTGGGAGGCATAGATGGCGTCCACAGCCGACAGCCAGTTCAACCAAATGTACAGGCAGGGAGCACACAACACCACACAAATGGGAACCCTAAAAAGAAGAGCGCGGGGAGAGAGGAAGAGAGTAGAGATTAGATTGGAGTATGATGCAATAATTTATCTATCAGCAAAGTAACAAACTTTTCATCAATTCGAGGAATCGAAATCTGCTTTCAAAAAGTAGAGTTAAATGATAAATATGGTTTTATCTCTAAAATAAAAGGCAGAATGCAATAATGTTAAAGATTTAACTACCATATACTACTGATTTTTAATTAAAACTGTTTTAACCCCAAAAAAGTAAGTAACTTTAAAGAAACTAAAGTCTCAAAAGCGTATGTTTTTCATTTAGAACTATTAAAAATAACATAACAATCTAAATATATTTAAATTCTCAATCGTATGCCAAACTGGATACTAAGTATTTAACGAATATCTCCTCTCCTATAAAAAATACCTATACTTAAGGTTAGTAAGTTCCTCAGAAATCCCTTCTATACTTATTTATATTATTTTATTTTTTTAAAGGGGGACTCCCCCTGGATATATTTACGTGAGCCACATCTGATTGATGAGCTGCGCCCAGGTACAGCGATCACCCTGCTGGGCATTGGCACTGAGCGCTGCCCGGTTGATGGCCTCACGGGAAAGGAAGAGCAGGGTGCTCTCCAGGAGCAGCAGCCGAACGTTCATGATACCGAGCACCTCGCGTCCCACATGTCGCACGATGTACGCATTAATGCCGAAGGTGAGGATGCGGCACAGTATCTGTAGAGGCAGTAGAAGGCGATGATGATGAGTAATGCCGGAGACCCAGGAAAGTAGGAAATAATAGAATGCGTCTGGGAATCTGGGACATTGGGACTAACCTGAAAGATGATGCTGAAGCCGGCGCCCAGCAGGCTGCTCTCGAGCACATTGCGTGCCATTGGAACCGTTCGCTAGGCCGGATGTCTCATCACGTAGAGGAAAAGCCAAACAACAAAACCAAACGAAAGGCCTCAAAACAATATTAACAAAATAAATTGATTGCTAACGACACAGTCCAACAGTGTTGGATAGCGGCCAGGCGGTGCGACAACAGCTGTTCTAACAGCGCTGTTAACAGTACTATGTACGTGTAACATAAGTGATAACGGTTGTCTGTTATTTAAAAAATTCAAAAACAGAAGATAACGATTGCCTTATCATTTGAATAAGTACAGAGTGCAGTCGATAATGTGAACCAAGAGAAAGCAATAATTCCATTTTAATGTTAGGATTTAAATTAAACACGTTTATACCCTTTCGGTGTATTATAATTTTAGTCAGAAGCTTGTTACGAGGTGAAGGAATCATTTCCGACCCTATACATCATATATATTCTTGATCAGCATCACCAGTAGAGTCGATCTGGCCATGTACGGTAGAAATATACATTTTTGAAATTTTTTCAAAATTTTATAAGGGGTTACATCGTTAAAGATTCGTAAAAATTTACAAAAAATGTAAAATTTTTTAAATTTTAAATTGAGTATGCAGATTTTTTAACCTAATAAAAACTAGCACGGGAAAGCTTTCCGAATTGAAATTAATGCATATTTGACTTAGTTATGAGATTTTTTAAACTTGATATGTTGAAAAAATTGTCAGATAAATATTGATTCAAAAAATAATTATTTAAAGCTTAGTTATGATCTATTTCCCAAACTATCCTGTAATTCAAATCCTTACAGCAAGGGTATATAAACTTTGGCTTCTTTTCTTGTTGTATTACATTTATATCCTTAAATGAATATTGATCAGCGCAAAGTTAAGTTACCGGCTTAAAAATGCAACATTGCACCTCTCTCTCTCTCTCTCTCCCTAGCACACTCTCTTTGTGCAAATATCACATAAATAATATAAAGTCTGGCTCGCGATTTAAAACTCAAAACTGAAAAGACAAAAAGCTCAAAACTGGTTGCGACAACTTTCGTTGCGCCGCCGAAGAAGAAGTTGCGGCTGCTGGCCAAGTTAGTTTGCGTCTTAGCTCCGCTCGAGGCGGTCGTGTTTAGTGGCCAACAAAAACGGATTGGCTTTTAACCAAGTACTACGAGTGGTTACCAGTATCCAAGAGTTAAAGCTAAAGGAAAGGTGCGCGGGCGCATTAAAAATTCAAGAGGAGAAAAGCGAACGAAACAAAAAATATATAAATACAAAAAAACGATAGAAAAGCGAGAAAAGCGAGTGGTGTGTTCTGCAAGACAGAGCGTGAAGACCAGCATTGTTTTATATTTTATTTTGTTTTATTTGTTATTGTTGTTGTTGTATTCGGTTTAGTTTGTCTTGATTGCGGTATAAATATATGCGGAAAACCTAATCCGATCCAAAGGAACGTAACAATAAACGACGTCAACTGCCTTATAGGATTACAAAAAAACAGTGTGACACTTTTCCGCGAGTGAGGAAAAACAGGTTGCCGCCATATAGCCTCTAGGGCCTCGTTCAGCAGTGCAGTTCCACCTGGCCCACCTGCTCGCCTGGATCGGACCAGATCACCTGGTTGGTCATGCTGCCCTCGTGTCCCAAATACACTTAAAAACGACAGGAAAAAAATACACAAAAAAACGCAAAACAAAAAATACAAAACAATAATAAAAACATTTAAGAGTTGACATTGCCAAGAACGTAATAAAGGAAAGGTGGACAAACCTATAAAGGAGTGGAAGCAGGAGGAGGCGCCGCTGGAGGGCAGTGATCCAGGATGTCGGACATTTACTACTGCAGCAATAGCCAGGTGAGTGAATGATCGTTTCAAGTTCTGGGACAAAGCAATTACTAACTAAACTAGTTAGTCCAGGAAATGCGCGTAAATACCTAGTACAGATCAGGGGAAGGAGGGGCTCAAAAGTACATAGTTCTTGTCAAGAAAATTACAGGGTAAAGAGGGTTTCTTATTTGTTATTATTTTTGTTCTTAATATAAAATAATTAACTATAGACACACTGAAGGAATTTTTAAAATAGAAAATACTATATACCCAAAAGTACATAGTTCTTGTCAAGTAAATTACAGGGTAAAGAGGGTTTCTTATTTGTTATTATTTTTGTTCTTAATATAAAATAATTAACTATAGACACACTGAAGGAATTTTTAAAATAGAAAATACTATATACCCAAAAGTACATAGTTCTTGTCAAGTAAATTACAGGGTAAAGAGGGTCTCTTATTTGTTATTATTTTTTTTCATAATATAAAAGAATTAACTATAGACACACTGAGGGAATTTTTTAAATAGAAAATAATAAATACTCAAAAGTACATAGTTCTTGTCAAGTAAATTACAGGGTAAAGAGGGTTTCTTATTTGTTATTATTTTTGTTCTTAATATAAAATAATTAACTATAGACACACTGAGGGAATTTTTTAAATAGAAAAATACTAAATACTCAAAAGTACATAGTTCTTGTCAAGTAAATTGCAGGGTAAACAGGGTCTCTTACTTGTTATTACTTTTTTTAAATATACATGAATTAACTATAGACACACTGGAGGAATTTTTTAATTTTTTTACTAGTACTACTTAAAATAAAAACACCATGTAATTTATTTGGCTGATTAGGTTCATGTTATCTCAAATGTTTTAGAGTTAATTTTAATGAGCTTCCCCAAGTGTCTGATAAGTTTTTTAAGAATTGGCTTAAAAACAGCTGTTTTACTTAACCAACTTAAGAAAAAGAGAAGGTATTACAACTGTTTTGAGTTTAGTAAACTAATGTTCTTGCGATTTACTGGACAATTTGAAGCTAAAAAGCATTCCTCTTAGTCTTTATAGTTAGGATAATTTACAGAAAGTTAGATAATCGATTTGCATTAAGTCTGTTCTTTAATATTTAATCATTAATCTGGTGATTATCTCTTTCAGTCATATAGCATTGACTGATAATAGTAGTAACTGGTCTAAAAAATATTTAAATAGTTAAATCAAATATTAATCATTGGTGCACCTACCGTTAACCAAGAGCTAAAAATCAAATGCAGTTGGAGTATTTTCTCTACCATTAAATAACTTAAAGACTAAGAATATCATCAAATTAAAACAGCTGCTTTAATTAAACTTTCGATAAAAATTAACTTTATTTAATTCTTTTGGGGTGATACATTTTGAAAATAAAATCCCCAATATCAAAAAAGTTTTATAATATAGCAAACCGTAAACAGAAAAAAAATTTATAATTGCATTTTAACATACTGATTCAGTTTATAATATTTTTGGTATTTATTTTTGGCAACTTAAAATATTAAATGTAGATTAAACATTGTTTAAAACATTTATTTGAACCTTTAACTTACATTCCATTTCATTTATCCAAGACAGAAGTATAAGGATAGAACAAAACATACATATTTTGTGAATATAAAATACAAATCGTTATACAATATTGCTTCCCATTATTTCATTATAATAACTGTTTCTATAAATACAACATTTATTATTTATTTCATAAAAATATCTATTTTTTATACCGATTCTCTTTTATTTTCCAAAAATACCATTTAATCTTTGATTGAACAGATTCCCAAAAGGCCAAAAATTTGTTTCGTCTCTCCACTTAACAGTATTTAATTTTGTTAAAGTTTAAATTTAGATATCTTAGTCTCAGTTTCACGTTTTCTAAGCTTCGTATTTTTTTTATCTTTAGCTTTTTGGTAGTTTGTCTTAAATGGCTTTTCAATCGCTGTCATAATCGCTGGGCAGCCATAATTAATAAAAGAAAAGTAAAAGCGTCGTTAAAAACAGTAACGGTTTGCTTTTTGTCATGTGGCCAATTACTGCAGATTACATAATACAAATATATATATAGCACTGGCTAACGATTTCCAATCAATATGTGTGTATATGTATATGTATATATCGATATCTAATGGATAATGCTACCGCCCTGTTATGCCTTAATTAATCCCGCTTTGTCTGAAATGGAGCCAATCGAATAAAATGCCATTTATGTGTGGCTTAAATGGTCTTGTTATGTTATTTATTTCCTTAAAAATCATGTTATGTGGTATATAATATATTGAATATTTAATGTAGAATTCCCTTAATAATTATTAAGACCAGTCCACGCCCCCAGAAAGAGGCGGGCAGCATCGCAGCACAAAAAAAGTGAGGGAATAATAAAATCTAAAAGTGAAAGTGCGTCCCGTTACAAGCCAATGTTGACTTAGTAACTTACTTTTGCAGCTCGCCTTTGTTGCTTTTGTTGTAATTGTTATAATAGTTGTTTGTTGCCAAAGTTGTTGTCGATGTTGTTGTTGTTGTTAGTGTTACCTGTTGTTGTTGTTGTTATTGTTGCTTTTACCTGGGGCGCATGGCTCTAAAAATATGTGGCTCACCTCAAAGAAAGAAAACAAAAGTTTTTTTTGTCACACTGTTCGAAATATTTTTTTGGGACACGACAAGGTCATTATTTATTGATACCATATTTGGGATTATTATGTTTATCTGACCAAAAAATTAAGTTTATGAATGTGGTAATTATAAATTATAATAATTTGTAGTATTAATATTTAGTGTGCTTTATTTCCTGAACATTTTGTTTCAGATAGTTTTTGTTAAAGCTTTTCAACTGAAATATTTCTAATTATATACCTAACACATTTTTATTTGCTTATTATATTTAAAATTTATTAGTTATGTTAGTAAAATCCTTGTTTTGATAAATTATAAATATGAGTTTGAATTTAAATTAAGAGTAGCCTTATTTTTTGTCAGTGCTAAGGTCGTTGTTTTACGATTTCTTTGTCGTCTTAATTCTGCAGTCTTCTGTTTTCAGTCTTCCCGTCATCTCTTCTCAGCTGCTTTTGTGCTTTTAATTTGCATCTGTTTTTTATGCCAAAATGTCTGTTTCTGTTGCTTTTCTTTATTATTATTATTTCCCTCTTGTATTTTTTCCAACTGTGTTTAGTGGCGTGTATAAATTTGTTTGTGAAATGAGTCTTTCTTTTGGCTTTTTGTTGTCTTGGTTGATGAGAATTTACCCAACCGACATGTGACAATATAATGCTAAAGAAATTTTATACAAAAAAACGATTTTTGAATGCTCTTACTAAGAGATTTTGGTGCATAGGAATTTTAGGTATTTCTTTTATTTATTTCTATAAGAATAATAACCCATTTCGATGAAGAAAGAGGTTTCTATCATTAAAAATATCTCCAGTAGTAGTATTTAAGTTTTATTTTTTGTTCTTGTTCTGTATTCAAAACAAAAAGACTCTCCCTTGAAACTTATTCTTCAAGAAAATGATTGCAATTACTTAAATTGTCTTTAAAGAGTACAAAGTCAAAACAAAATACTTAATTATAAAAAAACATATGTAAATATGCACTTAGGAACCATCTATTGTGCAATATCTTCACTGGAATCTGTGAATGGGGGCCGTGGAGTCTCTTGGGCATTTTGTAAAGGGTATTTGTTATGTACTATATTTTGGGTCCAAGGTTTCCACCAAAGAGTTGTCTTTTTTGTTAGTTAGTTAGGTTTATTGTTGTTAGTTTGCCATTTATTTTGCTGTGTGTTGTTTCGCAGGGCGTGTGTGTGTGGTGTGCCTGGGTTCCCCGAAAGGGATCCAAAATCATTATTTTAGCTGCATTTTGGTTTGGTGTTGTTCGGGGCGTCTATTGAGCAATTTAGAGTTTATGCTGCGATTGTTTGGTGGATTAGTTTCATTTACTAAGCTTCCCTTGCTCTAGCTTTAGGTCTAAACTGGGGAGCACAAAAACAGATACAGGTAAAATACTAGGTTTTCGGAGGGAATAAGGTTTCACACATAGGAAAATTATTATTTTGATGGGTGTTAAATATTTTATTTCTAAGAGAATTCATTGATCTAAAGTTAAAACCTTTGTTGAAGATCAATCTCTTATTCTAAAAATAACAGTAAAATAACAGTAACGTAGGACCCATTATAATAACGGCAATAACAAGGACTTCCGGTTCGCGCTTAACAGCACTCTGTTAGTTAAATAGGATTTTACAGGAAGTTCATCTGCACATTAACAGTTTTCTGCACATAACGGATATCAATCGGACATCTTGACTGACCGTTCTTTTAATTCATTTACTTTATTTTATTATTTTTTTTTTAAGAACACATAAGAAAATAATTATTATGTTGGGTGTTAAATATTCTATTTCTTAGAGAATTTATTGATCTAAAGTTAAAGCCTTTGTTGAAGAACAATCTCTTATTTTAAATATAACAGTAAAAATAACAGTAACATAGGACCCATTATAATAACGGCAACAACAAGGACTTCCGTTCCGCGCTTAACAGCACTCTGTTAGTTAAATAAGATTTTACAGAAAGTTCATCTGCACATAACAGACATCAATCGGACATCTTAACTGACCGTTATTTTAATTCATTTACTTTATTTTATTATTTTTTTTTTAAGAACATATACAATTGTTATGACCGCTATTGTGGGCTCCACTATATGTGTGTGTGTGTGTGTGTGTGGGGCCTGGCATTCCAATTATAGTAATAGCAATAAGTAGTAATAGTCTGCAGTCTGGAGTTTCTCGCACAGCATTTTGAGCCAAAAAAGTGATTGCAGGCGACAACAACAAAACTCGCTTGACTCGAAAACAAACGCAACAACTTTCAGTTGTCTGCTGCTTTTGGCTTTTCGGCTTTTCGACTATTTTCTAGTTTATTTTTTTCTGTCTAATTTTTCTTTTATTTTTTTTCTTTCGGCTTATCTGACTTGTGGGGCCCATTAGAGTCTTAGTTTCG